TTAAAAATTATTACTCCAAGTTATACAGTGTTCTATCCGAAACGTCAGATCGTTATGACACGTATCTTTTTCTCTAACGGAGGTGAAGTCTGATGTTTCTAGAATACTCACTTGAAAGTCGTTCCTTCCGGTCTTTTCTGGACTTCCACCAGTAAAAGCTGCATGGCAACTTCTTCAAGAACCTGACATAATAAATTATTTGAATGGAGCACTCTTACAAGTGAGTAATTTCTGTTTTTCCTTGATAACTGCATGTGCAATCAGCAGATGGGATGCCCTGCATTCAAAGTTGGCCCCAGGCCCCACAGACTCTAAGGCCGCCTCTGCATGTAAACAGTCATTATGAGGGGGGGAATCATTGATGATGCTTTTTGCTATCCAATTAATGAAAGAAATGACTGTAAGGCTGCTCATCAGGAAAAGCATACCCAATTCTGTGCAAAAATATGTGCTTGGCAGAGACATTCAATTAACTTCGCAACACTTCTAAGAATATATAAGACTGAATTTGTTCAAAGTATAACATGCACCAGGATGCATTTGTTCCTCTAAGAAGATTAGGGACAGTTTTGTGCAAATTTTCAGAGATATTTTAAAGTCACTTTTTTAAGAAGCCAAACAAACGTGTATAACTGACATGCAAAGTCAAAACAGAATAGTAAGGTACCCCTTAACAGCAACATCCACCCTAGCATTTGGAACTCCTGTGTTGTTCAAACATCCCATCTGCTTGACCGGAACGTCCGGATATGAGGACCCAAGGAGAGGTGGAACTAGCAGGGAGCTTCTGACTTCACCTTACTCCAAGATCTCAACCTGAGCACTTCCCTTTTCTATTGTGACCAACCTGACTTTATATGTGTTGTGGTGAGGCAAAGACAACTGTTTTACATTGTGCCAAGTTGTTGAGGACCTTTATTTCTGGCAACAATCTCATTGGGGGCTTGTCTGGTCTGAACCCTTCTCCCTGATTGACACTTGTGCATGTGTTGATGGTCCAAACAACCAAAAACTCTAAAGCAGCCGCACAACCCTATATCCCTCCAACCTCTGATGATTATGGATAATGCTTCAACCAGCAGTTCTGATGCAGCACCAATGACAATGACGCCAGCCATACCCTGCAACACTGGAGAAACGGGAGATGCGGAACCATTGGGTTGGGATACCGTTCCAGTACCAACCCTGAAATACCTCATCCAAGCCTACAAGCTTGGCCAACTGGCCAGCAGTGAGAGAAAGCATCTCATTGCACTCCTGGAGCAGAATCTTTTCCTGCCCGCGCTTGCACAGGGCTGGTTACCTCCTCCAGGGTGGCAACACAGTTCCAGCAAGCCACACCGTGGCCGTTTTTGACACCTTCAAGCGGATCACCAGCAATTACAGCAAACTCATCACCTCAGCTACCACCTCTTCCAGCATGCAACTCTGGTGAGCTACGTCCATCCAAATTGCCCAAACAACAGGAGGACAAATCATTTGAAGACTACGCAGACCAACTTCAATGCATGCTGGCAATCAACATCATTACATTGGGGATGAAAGTACAATGTTTGCTGCATAACATGCTTCCCGCGGTCCAAGCATCCATAGCCATTTTATTCTGCAAAGGATTTGTGGAGTTTGAGACCTTGGCAACCGCTATTGCCAGGGCCCATCCAACACCTCACTTGGACTGGTTGGACCAGTTCTGCCAGGCATGTCCAAAGCCCGGCCAGGGTTTCATCAGCTTTGCAGGACAACTGGCACACACCTTTGACATGTTTCTGGGCTTGACCCCCTGACAAACTGGTATTGGCAGCAGACATCTGGCAAAAAATGCTCATTGATCAGTTGCTGGCAGCAGTATCCAAAAAGCTGCGGGATGAGTTACAGGAACAATGGTCAGACAACCATAACCTGTCTTGAGACAAAGCAGAGAAGTTCCAAATCCACAAACATGCAACAGCCAAACCGGCTAAGAAGAGCACATCTGGGGGTGGACCGGCTCTCATGAAGCAATCCTCAGGGAACAAGCTGAACCTACCTCCATTCCAGTGGTGCAAAGGGCACCAATGCAACGTGCACCACTCACCGCAGAATCCTCCCCCAACAAAATGGCAAACCTGCCCTGACAACAATGCAGCAGACATTAACAACTTCCAATCAGGCTAATCCTACCATATGTTTTCATTGTCATGCACAGGGTCATATCAGCAAATATTGTCCCATGTTGAACCAGGGAAATGCCAACAAGCCACAGTGAATGTGGCACACTGTGTGGCAGCTGATTCCGCTGCTCCTCCACCAATTATCCTGGACCTGCAGATAGGCAATCAAACTGTTCCTGCCTTAGTCAACACGGGAGCTTCACATGCATTCATCTCCCAACGGCTGGTCTTGTTGCTGCAACTCCAGACCACTCCCCTCAGTATGTCCGTTCATACCTCCTTAACTTCTTCCACAGCCTTGATTAACCATTTGGTTCATTTGTCTTTTTGTTTCTGCAGTGCCAAATATCATGTTCCGCTTTTAGTTCTTCTGCTATTGTTCGATCCGGTGATTATTCTTGGGCATTCCACACTTTCACAGTTACCTGTGACTTTCACCATCAACAGCAAACAAACTTTTGTGGGTTTTCAGCAAACCTTGCAAAACCAAGCAGTACCAATGCTTGCAATGTGGGAGGGTGTTTCTTTTGTAGACGGCTCACGCAATGAATGACTGCAAATCATCCAGATCCTACTCAAACATGCAGACGGTGTGCATCAGTGGTCCTGCAGAGTCCTGTTTCTTTCCAGAGCACATTGTCACTCTGACATCCACTTCCAATGACATCCCCGCAACGCCATCTTTCAGGCAATCTGCCAAGATGACTATTCCATTTAACGCGCTAGTGGACGAGTACATTGAAGCAGGTATCATAGAACCAGCCACTTCTCTGTTTAATTCACCAGCATTTTTTACAACCAAGAAGTGGGATGACCCTAACGCGCCTCACAACAAGCAATGGAGACTAGTCAAAAACTATCAAGCACTGAACAACACCCTGAGTGATGATCATTACCCAATGCCCGTCATCCAGGATCTCCTGGACACGCTGGGCCATCACAACAAATACTTTTGCACAATTGATCTTCATTCAGCTTTTCATCATCTCCCTATAGCCTATACTGGCCACCAGCAAACTGCATTTTGGACACCAAGAGGGCACATGCAGTACCGGGTTATGCCTTTTGGACTTAAGAACAGACCAGCAGCATTCCAGAGAGCAGTGAATACCATTCTGCAAAGACATCTCTTTGTTAGGTGTTTGGTATACATGGATGATATCCTTGTATTTGGGACAGACTTTAACCAGGTTTGCAAGAACCTTGACCAAGTACAAACGGATCTTACCATGGCAGGCACAGCCATTGACATAAAGAAGTCTCATTCCTGGCATACAAGATTTTTCTGGTTTTTGTCAAAGGATAATTTTTTTTATGACTTAGAGGATTTTTAGCAGTACCATGTTGGGCCAGTTATGAAAAAGGGAAGATTTTTTTCAGGATATAATTCCAGGAGAGGCTGGACAACAATAAGCCAGTTTTGAAATTACAATGTAATTCCACCACCCCCAAAAATGGCATTTTTCCAGTGTCCATGATAACAAAATTTTGCAGTAATGTCCTGACTTTGCCAAAGAAGGGTTCATCCATTCTAACTGATGGGTATCATAGAAAATTTCCTTTCATGCAATTTGACGGAATGCTCACCTAAAACTGGTACTGCAGTATTATTGGTGTGATACTTGATTCTTTCATGGTGACTTTGTGAATGTTTTCTTTTCATTGTTCATTTCATTTTCACATCCTTGTTTGATGTTTGGAGCATGAGTGCTTCTTTTTTACTTTTTGTCTATGTTTTGATTTTAATTTTTGTAGGTACATAAACTGTTATTTTCTATATGTTTATGTCTGCTTCAATATTTAATAGAAATATCTACTCTCAATTTTTATTGCAGTTCTCACATTTTTTAATTCGAATTCCTTAGATATTCGACTGCAATATACAGTGGAATGCTGATGCAATGTACAGTATATACCCACACTGATGTATATGCTGCATCCCACACAGTTTTGATGGGAGCACTACATAACAAAGGTGGAAACCCCACATCTAGACATGCAGCATCTTGTATGCCAATGGCCTCTTCTGTGGAACCCATGGTGAGTTGTGTCATGCATAGGCATGGACCTCCTCCTCACAGAGTTAAGGGTTCCTGTGTTGCTTATCACTCTGAGGTCCACTATTTTCATGCCTCCCAAGATTTTTCAAAACTGGAGTGGAATTTTTGTACCTAAAAATATTTACATACAGACTGCATGTTTCACAAAACATGTAATCATCCCTGGAATTTATAAACTCCAGTCATTTTTGTACCCACAGGATTTTTTTTAGTAAATTTTGCTGACCAACAGATTCTTGTACCCAGGGGACTTTTGGTGGAGCCTTGTGTTGAAAACTATGCCTAACATTATGCACATTTTCAGACACAGTTTTCAGCACAGGGCTCCATCAGCAAATCCCAAGGGTTCAATAATGGATAAAAAATTCTATACCAGGATTATTTTTTTTTTACCCTCTGGATTTTTGTATGGCGGAGTTTTTGTTCACTTGATTTTTTAATCCTGTGGTTTCCAAAATCCAGCTGGTACAAAAATTCTGCTGTCCAAGAATCCTGTGGGTGCCTTGATTAGAAACTTAGAATACACAAAATGGCAGATATTTTCATGCCAATATCCACCATTTTGTGCATTTTTTTAATTTTGGACCAGTTTTTGTGATGAGTTAAGAATGGGTGAATTACCCATTAAGATAACCCCTTAAACCAGCCCATTACATACCCATTGTTTTAAGGCCATTTTGTTTTATGCACTATTAACCCATGAAAATAACTGTTCTGTAGCCCATTATTGATGGCTTGAGGGACCATTACCTATGATGTTTACAGATGAGAGTTTTTCATGGGTTTTCAAGCATGAAAAACTGAAAAATTATCTGCTGGGAACAGACCAACTACAGTCTGACAAACAGCAGCTGCTACGGCATCATTCAAACTGGCAGTTTTTCTGCTTGAATTGCAGCCAAGTACAGTACTGTATGGTCTTTCTTTCTGGAATTGGACTCTTTTCATTTCATGCTTCTTACACTGTCAATCAATCAAATTTATACACACCAACCCACCCTCGGAGAGCTCCGCGAATAACAGATGAGAGACGCACTGCTGCACAGTAGAGTAGAGTGGAGTACAGTACACTCGGACTCCAAGAAGAGGAGAATTGTGCCCTTGCGCGGAAAATACAAGGGACTGAATAATGAAATGAAAAGAGATCACGACGCAGTGTTGTTCCACTACTTTTTCCGTTCAGATCCCCGCCTCGGCCGCTTCGGGACGTCTTCATCGTCGAAAACGTCGGCGCACCGCTTGTTCGCGTCCAGGTTTAAAATGATGTCGCGTCGCTCGTACACGACCTTGGTGCACCGGAGCCTCACCAGCTGGCGCCAGGGGTCACTGCGGTCCACCTCCACCTCCGCCGGCGGCGCAGGCGGGGCCACGGGCTTCTTCTTGCCCTTCCGCCGCCGGATGTTGCCGAACTCGTCAATGTCGCCCGGCAGGATCTCGATCCCGTCGTCCCAGATCTTGCTCTCGGCAAACACCTCGTCCCAGTACATCTCCACGTCGGGGGCTTCGTATTCCACGCAGGGCTCTTCCGCGGGCACCTGGCCACTGGAATGCACGGGGCTCGTCAGCCGGCGCTCGCACTTGGTCGCCAGCAGGGTCGGCACGGCGCAGAGGCTGAGTTCCGACGACCGGCAGCCGTCGGCCAGGGACACGAGGCCCCGGGCCAGCGCCGTCGACGCGCCGCCACGGATCAGGTCTCCGAACGCGTGGTTGGACGGGGCCACTTGCGAGGGCAACAGGTTCCGCAGGTCCGCTTGCCCAGACGTCAGCACGTAGGACCCGAAGCCCGTCGACAAGTAGTGCGGATCCGACTGGTGGCACTTGCGCCCGTACCGGGACACGTCCACTTTCCCCAGGCTCGTCTCCGTCGTGGCATCCTCGACTTGGTACCTTGAAAGAGAGGGCACCGATATTGTTTACCCGCGACCACAGAACTGTAGGTTACTCATGCCAGGACTACGGTACATAAAGTACCTGTACAGTACTGCAATAAACAAGACAGACTCTTTCCATGCTTATCCCTCCTTAGAACCTACTGCAGTCGATGATGACGCCATTCCTCAACCTACAGTACTACAGTACATTACAAGTCCTTCATTTCAGAAGTCAGACTTTCTCGGCCAAAGAAAGTTTTGATAACTCGATTCTTCGGATCTACTATTATGAAGTTGCTCAGGACTGTGGCTTCGCACTTCCCTTTTTTCCGACCAACATCCCTTGCATCCTACCCTGCGGACTCCATCCCACAGAGCCCCACAGAGGCCTGGAGGAGGATTCCCATTCCCCATTTTTGTAAGTTTAAAAATTTGTCACCAATTCAATTCTTGGCAAAATGTACTTTTTAAAACTTTACTAGATGCACCATGATGTTTGCCACACTTCCTTTTTTTTACTTTTAAAAAGTTTAAAAATTGATTGAATTACAATGAAAAATGCAGAAAGATTTTTCAAAATTGTACAAAAATTTAAAAATATTTAATCCTTCGAATTTCAACTAACTTAATTTTTGAAAGTTCTCATCAGAAAAACATTCAAATTTGCAGAAAATGTGCATGCATACAATTTCAAAATATTTTTAAAATTGAATCAACAGAACAAAAGTTCGAATGAGCCAAAGTTAAAATTTTAAAATTCCAGCTTGCCATATTCTTCCCTGTTTTCTGAATTTAAGAATTCTTCCAAAACTGAATTATTCACTGAACTTGAAGTTTGAAGCTTCATGTCAAGCGCCGTGATGTTATCTACATGTTACTTCTTTAAACTTTGAGAAATCATAAAAATTGACAGAGTTAGGAATAAAAATATGAACACATTTTCCAGAAAACGGGGGAAATTGGGGAAACACATTTTGCTTTTTGAATTTTAGCTCAATCAATTTTCAACATTTTTTCCATTTAAAAAATACTGTAAACTGTAAAACTTCCCTGGGCATCCGATGCGGTTTTGAAAGTTGAACGTGTTCTCTTCAAAACAGTTACGATCAGCTGAAGTTGAAAATGGGGAAATCTTCAACATTTTATCTTACATTTTCAAGCATAACAAATACATTTCCGACTGAAACCACTCTAAAAATAATTAAATTTGTGAAAGATTAGTGTCCGTCACAATGTTCAAGAACACTTCATAAAACTTCAAAATTGACGAAGTTAGAGGTAAAAGTGTGAAATCTTTCTTGAAAATCGGGAAAAATGATTTTAAATTTTAATCATTAACAAAATTATTCACTTCGATTGCTCTAAAAATATATATATATTTGTGGGACATCAGCATACTCTATAATGTGCAAGATACTCTGGAAAAGCTTCAGAACTGAAAAAGTTTCAGGCAAAAATGTTGAATCTTTTTTGAATATGGGGAAAAAAGATTTTACATTTTTAATTCTAGCTGACGTAATTCTCAGCTTAGGTGACTCTGAAACATACGAGGGTTCTAACAAAAGTTCTTGGAATGAAAATGAAGATGGCGTCTAATCGAGCTGGAAAAAAATTATTCTTTAGGGCAACCATATTCTTTGGCACAAAAAAAAATCAGCCCAGTTTGACAATTTTTTTCAATTTTTTTCAAAATTTACCCTGGCAGAGTTTTGCTATACACTCAACAGATGAGGCACCCTTCCTGCAGCTTTTTTTTTTTTTNAGACGCCATCTTCATTTTCATTCCGAGAACTTTTGTTAGAACCCTTGTATTGTATATAAGTTTGTAAAAAATCAGTGTGCATTGAAATATGCAAAAAATTTCAATTTGTGTAGAACAGAAAAAAGTTGAGTTGAAGTGGAGATCATAAATTCAGATTTTGAAATTTCAATTCAGTAATTCATAAAACATTTTCAAATATACCAAACTTCAAAGTTATCACAGAAATGTATGCACATGGACCTATTCTACATTTCCTTTTTAAACTTGGAAAAACTTGAAAATTAACCATGTTACAGACAAAAATTTAAAAATGTTCTTGAGTCAAACAAGTCAAGAATTGCACCATTGAACAAATAGTGAAAATATAATGATTTAAAGTGGAAATCCAGATGCCTCTGAATGGTCCATTCTTTTGAAATGGACAAAAATTTGTGGCAGACTGGTGCCAGTCTGAGGACAATGGGTTGGGGAACACTGTTGTGCATTAAAGTAGGATAGTTATTTCAATATTTTTCAGCCGTAGGGTTTTATACATACTGCCCAGGTGTGGCTGGACACCCCAGCTTGGGTTTAGAACAAGAAATAAGCATCAAAACGTAACCAGTTTCAATATAATTTAATTTTCAAAGTTACTCCATAATTTGTATCATGATGCCCAGTGGTGTGACTGGGCCACACCACTGCGCATCACCTTCTCCATAATTGACCTCCACGAATTACATTATTTATATTTAAAATTTGTCCTGTGCTCTGGTGGGGCTGGGCACCCCAGCTTAGGTGTCCAACAAGAAATAAAATTATTGGTGGTCCTTCAACATGTAACCAGCTTCAATCAACTTTTTGTTGTTGTTAATCTCTGCATAATTTGTACCATGGTGCCCAGTAGTGGCTGGGCACCCCCTCTTGCACACATAGATTTTTCTTATATAGAGAAAATTGTTTCAATTTGCCTAATGCCCAGGTGTGGCTGGGCACCCCCAGCTTGCATTCAACAGAGTTAGAACTTAAAATACAGACAGTTTGACTCAGGGACTCCAGAAACTCAATAGAATTTTCCCTGACATCCGGACTACGTCTCGAGTTAGGGACACTTCCCCACATTCGTGAAAACAAATGATCGCATCGAAGTCAACGGGAAAACTTGATTTGACACACAGACGCTCCGACAAAGGGACAAGGTAAGAGCACCAATTACGTGAACATCCCAGGGGCCCACTGCAATTTCACAACTTGATGAGATCGAACCACAGTTCAGCACAATACTGTAAGTACAATACTGCGAACATTTCACAATCAAGAAACGTGACGTGGAGATCAAACTACAGTAAATCTGCTTTAGTTACCACAACGGTACCAAGCATCGTGCCCGTTATTGTAAGTGTTACACCAAAGAACCAAATTCAAGGACTGTACAGTACTTCCTTTTTCAGCTCCTCGACCGTTTCTGAAAGTTTCGAGCCGACTGAAGTAATTCAACGTACAGTAGTACCACACAACAGATGAACTCGAAATTTGGATCATTTCACCTAATCTTGTATCTAGGACGCACTTTTTTTTCCTTCAAGTACAGAACAGTTGAACCTCACAATCTAAAAAAAAACCTCCAGATGTCACATTTCGTTTAGACCCAGTCTGAATTTCCTCTCAGAACAATGAAAAATGTGACTCGAAGACTCGAACCTCCAGAACTCGAATTTTTTCCGAGTCCTCTGGGCTTTTATTTTGCAGACCCAGAGAAGAGATCAATGAAACTGTCACTTGATGCTTTTTCAAAAGGGGATGACGACTAAGGCAAATGTACCCTTTGTTCAAAGTTCAGCATCCTGTGAACTGATTTAATCCAGCAGTTCAAGGCTTGCATCATCACCAATTTTACCTTCATAGAAAAGTGGGGGAAAAGGGAGGCGTAATTCTTCACTCGGTGTTGTTCATCTTTCCGAAACAAGGAACACTTTGGTTTTTTTTTTTCCTCAAGCGGAACCCCCGCGTGATTGAACACATTTTGACACGGAAAAGAGATTTGAATCCAGCTTGAACTTACGACGACTGGAGTCGAAGGGCCAGGTAATCCGCGTCCGACAGGAGGTTCCATTTTTCAGAGGAACCACCGCTAGAAGCATCCGTTTCTGCAGGTCTCATCGGCGGCCATCTCGCATCAGCTTTCCTCACAGGAATCAACTCGCTCTCGTCCACTTCCCGTTTTTCCTGCGCTAGCTCACGGGACACCTCGTCAATAATCCTCTTGATCCTCGAGAGCCTGCGCAACAGAAACCTCAAATGAAGATACATCATGGCAGTGTCCAATGTTGGCCCACTGTGTCTCGGACTTCTCCGAAAGAAAGAAAGAAGCATCCACACGGAAATAAAAGGCAGAGCCGATGTCTGACACTGCTTACAAGACTGCAATTTTATACGAATCATTATTCCTTCGTGATCCACGGAGGGAAGAATCATGCGACGAGTAAAGTTGATTTTTCTGGAAAAGCTTCTTCTTTTCCCCGAACAAGAAAAAGAAGGAGGCCCTGGTTGGAAATACCTTTCCTGTGACGGAGACACGGCGAAAGCAGACAAGAGGTATTCCCTGGAAACCCGCGGAGTGCAAAGAAAAGCAAAATCGGCCATCATCTCAAGGAGACGTGCCAGACTATCCTTCCATTCAGCCACGTGAGGGTTTCCTGGGTGGCAGATCATCCCGTGGATCACATGACCAACTTTCAGACAAGACTGCAACCCTTCTTGACCACCATTGGACAGCAACAGGGCAGTCTGCGCGAAGAACACCAACATTCGCGGTCCCACTGGCCATTTCAGTAACTTTTCGAATTTCTCTCCACTTTCCAGCCATAACTGCGGAAAAATAAAGCAGGTAAGCAATACAGTGAAATTTCGTTACGAAAAACTTTTGGGGACTTTCGAAAAGGTTTTTTGCACAACACTGAATAATTTGTCATGAGATTTTCAAAAATGTATGACTGGAAAAAATTTTCACATTTGACCTTCCTACATAATCAAGCACATCTTGCTTTTCTGGCATTCTCAGATAAATATTTTTTCCCTTATTGATTTCAAAAACTGAAAGATCCTCTCAAAAAATTAGCTTCAAACATTCATTCCATCAGTTGCACCAGTTTGTTCATTCTGGGAGGATGATAAGTGGAAGCACTTCGAAACATGTTCGTCATTGATTACAGCTTCCATCCATTCTATAATAAGACCCATTCAGTCACATTTGGGTTGTGAAATTTCAGACTGAGTCTGCCTTAGTCAGGAAATTTCTGCCCGGCGAATCTATTCAACATTTCTCAAAAAAGTTAGTTGAACTGTGATCAGGAAGTTTGCTACTGAATAACAATCAACATGTACTTCATGGGCTTTTTGCCAGGACTTGAGAGAAGTTTGTCATACACGTACTGATGAATTTGTGGCAATGGTATATGTTGTAACGAAATTTTACTGCATAGCGAACACAAAATACAGTCGTAAGAGGGAAACTTTTTCCAATTATCCTTTTTGTTTTTGATGAAAAAGAAATAGATTAGAGAGAGTTTTTAGAAACAATTGCTTCATTTCAAGAAAGGTTTATCGAGAGCCATCCTCCAACAAGAGAACCCACACGAAAAAATATTTTCCCCCTCGATAGATTCGATGCAAGATTCAGACGTTGATCCCTCCTTGAATGTCACTTTCATTCCCCACGGCAATCAACCAACTCAATTTACGAATGGCAAACTGCATTCAAGAAAGGCAACAAAATTCAAACGGCAAGTAGAAGCAGTGACATTAGGCTTCTATTCAAACCGGTTTCACCCGCATTCCATATGTCAGACGTTCACGACGGAAAAAAAGGGACTGATCGCAGTAAATTAAGATCGAAGTTGCCAAATTACCGAACGGTTCAAGAAATTAGGGTCATTCCGAGACGGAAAAATTCCCCAAGACTCACCCCAAGAACTTCTCTTCCATCTTCCGCAATACACTCCTCCGAAGACCTCGCCAAAAATGCAGCAACGAACGCATTGATCAAGAAATTCCTGAAGTCCCGATTGCAGTTCATGATCCCGTTCATCACCAGTCTCCTCTGCTCCGCTGAACAATCTTCAACCTTCGAACAGTCAACATCGGGTAAACATTGGAGAAATGAAGAACACACACACATTCGCCCCACTCACGAAGCACAGCACAGCTTCTTTCTTCCCATTCAGCCACAAGGACCAGAGGAATTGCACCGTGAGTCCCTTGCAAAGTTCATCACCAACATACTCTCGGAACTGGACAGAGGCGGCTTCAGTATCTTCCCGAATGATCGCCGTGAGATACTGAGAGAGTCGCAAGGCGGGTAGAGAAGCACAGGCCTTCAGCAGGATTTCGAGTCGAAAGAACAAGATCGGGCCTTCGTCCAGCAGACTTCTAGACGGGATTCCGGCGTAGAGCTTGAGAAGGTCCAGGCTTTGCCAATGACGGTCCGAGGCACGGAGAAACGAGCTGATGAGACGACGCTCGGCAGGAAGAGCTTCTTCACTCGCCAGTCGGGTCTTCATCCGCTCCTCGACCCCGTTTCTATACGGACTCTCAATCCAATTCGGGTCGTTCAACATCTGCTCGCACAATGTTCTGAATCACGCGAGAAAAAAAAAAGAGCGGTTCAGCACTCGAATCACGCCTTAAATCCCTTCTCCTCCTCACCTGAATTCAGCACTTCCATCGCAGCGCTGGGACACTTTCCACCTCTCAATAAGCAAGTCCCACATAGCGACGTAGTATTCTAAACCCGATTACTGCTGTAAATCCTAAAAGAAAACACGAAATCGAATCTCTGAAACCATTCCACACGAACATTTCGAAATTTCATTGGAATCATACGGCTGAGAAGCTTACAAATGTAAGCTCAAGAATTCACACGGGAGTGGTGACACTCGAAACGAAAAGCAAATAATAAGAGAACACGTGTTAATGTTCAACCATATCAAACTCTTATTCCTCTCCAAACATTGGTAAGTGTCATTAGACCGAACGAGTCGAAAAATCCAATCTGTTCATTGTACATGATAAAAAACCAGAGCCTCTGAAGTAAAATAACCATCTATGACTTGTCGATTCTAAGAACAACAGTTCACCTTCCTGGCACACCCCGTCTAACTCTCCAAGCGGTTGATTTAAAATCAGATATACACAAAAGGGTCTTTGATCAACGGGAATGCCTGAATTCTTACAAGATAGCCACCAGGTTCAACTGATCGGGACGGGGGACGGGGTAAACTTGCATCGAATCTTTATGCACTTATTACAACGTTCGCTTCGGAATTGCAACGCGTCCGAAATCAAACGTTCTCGAAAATAACTCCAAAAAAAAAGGAATGAAGTTTCCGGGAGTGAAAGTTATCAAACCATATCCGCTTCGCAAGAAACCCGTTTCCGCATTACGGTGAAGACAGATCGTTGTACTGTACTTTAAGCGGCGGGATGACTTGCATCCAACAATCGCACAAGTGACTTCATCAAGCTCCCGAAACGCGAAGACTTGCGGAAAAGAAACACGAGGGTATTTTCTCAAGTTCTCAAGTTGACAAAAAATAAAATTTCAAAATGGCTCATTTCCCAAAAAACATCCTTCTCCAGCAAATGCACGAACACTTCAGTTATGTTCGATGCAATCAATTTCCCTTTCGATGCATGCCTGAATTCCACACATGAACAATGTTCCTCGGAAAACTGGTCTCACAGTACTGTACTAACGTCGAAAAAAGTATTCACTGGGGTGCTTTCTAAGCTAAGGGGATGTTTTAGGGGTGAACGATGTCCGATTAGTAAATGGACGAATTAAAGGAACTGTAAACTTTCGAAGAGGAGCAGCACTTATACTAAAACGAGTTTCCGTGCCTTCACTTGATGTATAACGAATAATTCACTTGAACGCGACGAGGTGAAAATGTTATTCAGATGATTCTCCATTTCGAATAATCATTACTGATGATGATTCCATGGAAGCGCTCTAAAAATCAGCTGGGTCACGATTTCATGAAAAAGAGGGACACCGCAGCGTCTGATGGAAACTTCGTTTCTCCTCAAAGTATTGGAAACCTTTTTGAAAAAGCAGGACAACTTCACATTTCTACCGTAAACGCTACAGAATTTCGAATCGCTTTGCTTTTAAACTCAACACTGCTATTTTCGGAATCAGGAAATGGGGAAAAATCAGGATTGTGGCCGAAGCCTCGAAAAGTTAGTTGTTGAGGACGTGGCGAGACTTTCGAAAATACCCCCGTATGCATGTATGGACGGAATAAGTGTGTCTCATCGCTCCACCGGAGATTCACAATTACCAAGACTCAGCCGACGGCTGGAGTCTCGTGGACGTCAATTATTTCAGGAAGCCATTTCCTCGGAACCAAAAAACGTGTGGAAGACAGATCATCCCACACCACCACCACACCAACAACAACAATAGCAGCAGCAGCAGCAACTTTACAAACACTCATTCACTCTCTTGTACAGGGGACATATCACAGAATTTTTTCTTTCCGGAATGTACAAAAAAAGTACTGTATGGCATTCTTAGGACGCTTTGACGGTTCGCAACTTGGCCATGTAGAAGTCGCAGTCCGTGCAGTAGACATTCGGCGGCATGACCAACTTCTTCCCGCACAAGGAACAACATCCCGCAGTCGCCAGCGGCAACGGGCTCCTCTGCCGACTCCAGAATTGAGACCCAGCGTTCGGATCATACGGCGGTGGGGACAACGGCGCCACCGAGCTGTCGGAAGACGTCACGGATCCGATCGGAGACCCCAAAGGCGGCGACACCGTTTCCTTCAAGCCGGCGCTCCGCAAGACCCTTTCCAGGATCGGATTCGGAAGCGAGGTTTCGTCGGCGTCGGCTTCCGCCACCAGCGTCACCTGGTCGCAGAACCGGACGCTCTTCTTGCCTGCTTTCACCGGTGCGACTGCAGGCATCGCCGCCGGCGAGTCCACGCAGTCCGTTGATATTTGCTCAAATCTCGAAGTCAAGGCTTTCACCGAGTTCCTGGGGGAAGGCGGAGGCAGGGACCAGGCAGACCTGGGGTTCCAATTCCCGGCAGCCTGTTCCCGGATCAGGTCGGGGATGGCCGACTCCAGCGGGGGCGGGGGTTCCGGGAAGTCCTCGGAATGCACTTGAGCAGTCGTCAACACAGTGGCAACTTGATTCGGCAGCGGTCTGCGGCAAACAATGAGCAAACACGCATTTTAGAACATGCCTTGATTCTGCATTTCGAGATGACCATCACCAAATACAGTCACCCAACTCAGTTCACAAACAATGGTCCTCACGGTAAACTCCCTCGTTTAAAAAACTTTTGTTCTTAAGCAAGAAAAATTCCAAATCTGGTTTTGGCACTGAATTGTAGGGTACAATCTACTGCAGTTACAATGGACAAAGCAAGCAGAGAAATTATTAGGCAGACCAACGGCTTGCACAACATTTCAAAGCTGATCTAACTTTTGAGTAATTAAGTGAGGGTGGGTCATGGACGTTCCAAGGTTCAAGCATAATCAATTGAACAAGTGATATCCAGCTGGAAGAAAAGGCACTTTCACACAGGTTTTCATGTTTTTATAGTTTTTCCACTGTTAAACTGTTTAATTTGTTCTTTAGTTAGTAAGGGCATTGTAAAATGAACACTTTATTTTCTGGTGACAGTTATCCCCTGCTCATGTGTGAATGTCTTCCCGGATGTGACGCTTTTCGAAGGTCGTTTTCATTTCCTTCCAACTCTACAGAACATTGTGAACATCCGCACAATACACTACTACAGTAACTTATTCCGACAGAATACGAGGGTTGGTTCATAAAAGATGATAAACTGCCACTTGCCGTCATTGGAGGCGGATGCCATTTTTTCTTCTGCTCTTCAATTCTTAATTACAGTAATTGCATCTTCCTTCAATGACAGCAAGTGGCTGTTTATCATCTCTTACGAACCAACCCTCGTATTTGCCCTGCAATTTTTTCATTAAATTTCCAATTGCATTTTGGGTGTCGAGAATGGATGAATGAGTTCTCCATTGAAGTCTGCGGGAAAATCGAATTCAGTCAACGAACTTTTGTCTAGAACCAATCATGTTCGTTAACCAAAGGTCGACTGGGATGCGACTCAGCCAGAGTAAGGGACTATCGAAGCACGCTACCGTACTGTAATAAGTAATATACAGCACAATATTTCGCTTCAATTCGGACTTGACCCTATTTGAAAAGCATTCATGCTTTGAACTCTTCTCAACTCGTCAACAGCTTTTCATTTTCGACTTGGAAAACAATTGCAGGGTATAAGTTCAGGTGGTGGATATGCGGGAAGTCAGTGAATGGATTTCATCTTCAGCGAAAAACAGACGCCAGGGTCAGAGCGATATTGTAGGCAGAAATCATCGCCAAGAATCGTTTTCAAAAGTCCCATGAGTCGCCAAAAACTTTCAAAGCAGGGAATTGAAACTCCTGCGCACTCCATTCCACCGATCCTTCTTCATTGGTAAAAAGTGCAATTCTTCATAAAAAAAAAAAAAAAAGAATTCTGCGATGCACTCAGAGATGATTTGAGGGATCTCTCGCACACATTTACAGAAACACCGGGAGAAACTCGGAAAAAAATTGCCATGCTTTTGGTACTTTGAAATGAACTTCCGATTTGGACTGGCGTTTCTTCCAATACTTTACTGTCGTAACTAACTGCATGATGCACATTTTTCAGCTGAATTCACAACCATCACGTTTTCTTCAGAAGATTAATTTTCTTGGAAGCCTTTCTTGGGCGAATGAATAAGACTTCCTAGACTTCTAAATCTGAACATTTCCAAAACTTCTCCGCAACGTCGGGCGATTTGAGGATTTTCGCCACAGCATTGCAAACTTTCCTAGGTTTATCTTGATCAACGATCAATCCAAAGGGTTCGGAAAAAAAGCGAATGCACTTTTTTCCGATTGGGAATCATCCTCATGGAATCTAACCGTTATTCCGAATTCTCGTCCATTGAATCCCAACACTGCATGGAGATGACCAATGTTCACATTTCAAGACACGGCGCAGGTAAGTTTTACTGAACGGGCCTCAAACAAAACGTCGTGAAAGTCACCGTCGTTCGACAAAAGTCAAAGAGCATGGTAATACAGCATAGTTTGCATAAAATATCCGCAGCGAACGATTTTCCTTTGCTTTCTCAAGAGCTTGATGAGAATGCAAATAAACTCACTTGTAGGAAATATTTTCATAAATATGAGCCAGCATCGAGTTCCCCCACGGGATCCTCGCATCAGTCCTCGGCGGCAGGGGAGGAGCCACGGGCTTCATGGGACTCAGCTTAGATGTCGTTCTCGCAGGTGGCGGCGGTGGCGGCACTTTTGGCACATGCGGAGGCTTCTGCGCAACACTGTGATGGAAACTCCGTCGCATCAATTTCGACCTCTCCAGGTTCGGGTTCGAGTAGTCCATGTGTCCCTCGGATAAATATCCACACACCGGTTCCGCGGGCCTATTGCAATCCTCTGCAACACAGATACAATTATACGAGAGTCAGCATTGCGTCGCGTCGGATAGTAACGTCATGTCACACACAATCTGAAAACATGTTGCGGCCAATCCCATGCCATTCGTTGAGAAACGTGTCTTTTTCTTTTCTTTTACTTTTCATAACTGTACTCCGATGCTACGGGGAGTAGACAGATCATCCCGAAATGTCCCTTCCATATCAACACTTCGTTTTTTCCAAGTCATGAAGATTTTCGACGAACGTCACCTTTAAATTATGACATCAAGGATCAAAACAGAAATGTTTAGCATTTCGGTATCAGCACGAAAAGTGAAACAGCTAAATTTTTTCTAATCCTCAGTTTCTTAGTCTTTCAGATTGCAGGAGCCCCGTTTATGATCGATTTCCACGGCGGATTCAAACTGCATAGATCATAGGCACATTGCTCTTCTGAAACCTAATCATCAGTGATCTGTTTGATTTTTTGACGTGTCCTCTTTCGTCGCATAACCTATACAATCTTTCCCAAATCATCTAAAAGTCATCTACAACTCGAAAAAATGAACACTCATTCATGTATACAGTATTTAGGTTCAGTTGCACAAATAGATGCTCAGCTGGTTTGACGAAGGCTTGCGTCGGTACAATAGTAACGAATTATTGTACGTATATCGCGCATAACAAGACTTTCTGTCCCTCGGGGAGAGACGAATGAAATCTACGAATCGCTGCACGTACCAGGAGTCTGAGCTCTCGGCGGGGCCTGAGTATCTTCATCCCTCAGATCAGGCATGCTTCTATTCTTCCTCTTTATGAGCCCGCCCATGAGCAACTTCCGACGGATCTTGTGCTGCTTCCGGCCCTTCCCGGTCTTACCGTCACTCGTCTGCTCCGACAAGGAACTCTCGTCGCCCGAGAACGCATCGGGGCGTTTCCCGACCGCCTTCTTCGGCAACGTGGCGTAGATCTCAATGCCTTTCCCATGGGGACGTCGCTTTGACAACGTGTCGTAATTCTGCACCGGCTCCTGGCGACGCACTACCGTAGCCGTCGACGCGGTCGAGTCCTTGCTGTTCTGTCGACTGTGTCGTTGCTCTGCAAGCGATGTATAATATTTCATGAATGTCACACGATGTCCAATCAATCAGTAAATATTCTTCAAAAACATAATCGAACAAGTTTTCGAAGGAAAAAAATCACCAAAATGAGAAACAAAATTTTGATAACACAACAGCCCCATTGAAAAAGAGAATGAATGATGCATATACTAAACTAAAGTACTCAGGGATAACGCACAGGTGTAAGAAGAAGAAAAACGGGGTTGATGATTTCTTGTTTCGCTACGAGAAAAACTCGTAGCGAAACATCCTGAAGAACGAACGTTTCTGGTGAGATTTCACACTCCATCAGAACAAAAAAAAAAACTTGTGAAACAAATTCCAGTGCAATTTCACCCTCCAGTATTCCCCTTTAAAGGCAAGGTTTTGAATTTATAATCCGCACTTCGCTGCACTCAAAATATTTCAAAATGGGGTTTCATGATTTTTTTCATCAAGTATGGATTGCAGATTTAAAACATTGAGTCTTCAAAAAAGTTTTGAAGACTTTTTATGCTCAAAAAGTCTTCACACTGGGTTCAATAGGAAACAAATAGTTAAAAATTTTCGTTTTTTTAAAAACAAATTACTGTATACGATTTCCGATTGAAGTCTAGCGGAAATTGTGATTTGTACAACAACCGTAGCGGCTAGAACAAATCAAGTTTGTCGCACAAATTACCACAATACTTAAACACGACATTCATTCTTCGATTCTAGGATTCATATAATTTATTAGAGTACAGTAACCGCAATATTTCCGAAGACGAAAATTTTACTGATTTTATACAAAAAGCTCATCAACAAACCAGGTTTTCTCGTCGAGTCTGTGTCATCACTCGCGGAGGATCCATGTGAGTTCAAGCTTTCTTGCCTCGACACCAAACGACGCTGTAGTGTCCTCAATCTCATTACACACGCGTTGTGCTTCATCCTGGCGAACATGATAGCCTGGAACCGAGGGACAAAGATTATTCCAAGTTGATCGGATGGGCATGGCTCAATGCTTTTCATTTAGAAAAAATTAAAGCGTAGGGGTCACACAGCAAGACCATCCGTATTCAAAAAATAAAAAACATCCCGTCAAGGGGACACAACTGTACAACGTAGAATATTGCTCCCATGTCACAAATGGATTTCGGGTCACAAAGGAAATAAACGGGAAGCTCGTAATCATTTCTCCGATGAAGTAGGTTCTTCAGAAGATGAAGTTTCGACTAGCTTTCAAGGGTCAGTTCCCAATGGATATGATTCGGACACGAACTCGCTATCCGAGATTCGACAGCAGCACCAAAATGCATGCCGTGGAAACTTACTCAGCACATCAGAGACTCGCGATTCGACACGAAACCGTAGTCCAACTAGCAACCCTTTTCAGAGCAGGATTATCTTTCGAATTCACGAAGAAGTAGAGACTGAACGGCATCGGGTTTACGGGATATTCCAGGGCGAGCGTAAACTCAAGACCATCCAGAAGAAACAACGAGCCACATTTCCTACCCTCATGGAAACTGATTTCCACAGCCCTCACATTCGACTGTCAAAGTTGTACTACAGCATTTCTCTTGGATTATCCTCACTTTGAACGCACCGCAGTACTGTATTTACAAAACTCTACGCAACTTTGATTTAATTTAGGGAAAGACGACGCAGTTCGAATTCGTTTCACAATCCATTCGAAATGTCACAATCAATTAGCTAATAGCAACTTCCTCCCTACTCTTTTTCTTTTCTTTTAAATGAGGGATACTATTCGATAGGAACAGGCATCAGGTCTTGCCGTACGAAGACTGGGTCAAAAGCGTACAGTACTCCAGATATGTCATAAGTGCATGCTCAAAATTGTCCCGGACATCCTTCAAGGTAAGCGCCACACACTCACCTGCGGGTTATTGTACGGAGCATCCATGGCACATCTGGCTTTGGCAGCAGCAGTAGAACACATGGCAATGGCGTTATCCATTTCCCCGGCATCCTCCTTCAATCGCGACAACTCGAGGAATTTATCGGATTCGAAACAAAGCTTCTCGCAATCATCCGCAGCCAAGTGTCGCCACGGAGGCAAGCCTTCCGGAATGTTTTGTAAATCCCTCGCATTCATGTTCAATCGCGTTCTTTGCTTCGACGCCGGCACGAGGTACAGATACGGGTTCTCCGTCGTGCTGCTCGACGAAGACGCCGAGTTCCGGTCTCCGCTCCAATGTCCGGAATCCCGTTTACCCGGAACATTCGCGCCCGGCGTCAACTTCACCTTCAGATCAGGAGACGACGACGAAGAAGAGGACACCGTCGTTTTCGGACCGTCTTCCGAAACCCCTGACGAGTTCAAGTCGTCCTTGTCGAACACGGAGAATAAATGGCGAAAAGCGTCGATGTTTTGATAGTTGCCGTAGTCACCCTGAGTAAAGCAAAGGCGCGATTCATTATTCATCCTACAAATCTATTGATCAGACTTGAGATGCGAACTCGGGACCGGAAAGGAAAAAATGAGTCATTCAAGGAACGTTTTCATAACCATACCATCGGAGGACTACCAAGCCGACTTCGCAGACGAAGAGATTTACTTCGAGAATCAACCCGTATCGAAAACCGGTTATAGAATGATCTTATGCATACAGTACTTCTCGGCTATTTCCCCGGTTGGATACTAGCAGGCTTTTTATGGCTTCAAACGTGTGTCGATACAATTTTAGCCTAAATGCACTTATGCAACGTAACACGTCAACGACATCAGGAAAAAAAATTGACACAAGCCTTCACTTTCTTTTCAGGAGCAACATTTTATGCTGCCCGGAGAGGAAACAGATGAAGTTACAGTACAGTGATAACTGAAATACAGTATTGTAGATTAAAATCAGGAATAGTCGAGCAAATAATGCACAAATAAACATTACACTGGGTAATTCCTCCCCGAGAGAACCTCGTTCCTGCTTTCCCTCTCACCTGCGCGTCGAAACTCGGAGTGACGGCTCTCCGTCGCGAGTCTTCTCTCACGACGTCCTGTGGACTCGGGGTCACTGCCCTCCTCAGGTTCCTCGGGAGGGACCCAAAGCTGAAGGACAACTTGGAATCCCCAGCAGTCGTAGCATACATGAGCAACAGGGGCTGGAAATGTCCCCTTCGGCACTTGTCCACCACCTGGCCCCAATGCGGCCCGATCTCACGCACGCTCGCATCGTCAAAATAAATCCACAACTGGAGCTTCGAGTGGAAAAAGAACGTCGAGTAGTTCTTTCCGTAGTATGTCACCAGGCCAACAAGCGTATGAGGATTCCGGGTCTCCGCCACGGAATGGAAAACATCAGACAACTCCAAATGGATGCTGACCGTCGCCAAAACCTTCATGATGTGATCCAGGTCTGGTCTCTCACTGTCCCACACGATACCGATGGAAACTATATCCGGACGGTTCCTCAAAGTCCTGAAGATCTGGAGTTTGGCTCCACAACCACTCTGCAAGCAAAACGCCAAGATATTCTAGTCACACGAATAAATACAGCTGCATTTGAGGCTTCAAATTAAACACGAATCGATTCGAAGAATGAAGTGCTGAGAATAAAACCTCGGCTTCCTCTAATTTCTGTATACCGTAATCACAGTGAGGCCACAACACGCAGAGGATTCAACTTGAGGACACTTGCTATCTCAGAAAATCTACCTCGACATGCGGACACTGTCTTGAGATCAGAAAACTTCATGAACATTTCTAGACATGAAAATTTCAATTTTTTTCCGATTTTGATATAAATTGAGCTTTTCTTAATCACAAAAATTACGATTTTTTTTTATAAATTCACTGTACCGTAAGTCATTCTTCAAAACAGGCTAATTTTCTCCTTTTTTTCAGAGCTCTTTCCATCATCTGAGCAGAGTACAGGAAGACTTGAGCTTGTTCTTTGCTATTTGGGTTCATTTTCATGTCAACAGATCGGATTGTGTGCGGTTTTCTTCTGCGATGTTATTTACTATATCTTGACGGGGATAACAATTATTTTATTCCATTTCTTGGAACTTTTTCCTCATTTCTGATCAACAGAAGGACCAAATAATTACATTCCCATTGAAGTCTAGGCAAAAAAGTGATCCAACGTGCAGAAATTCCGACATATAGAGACAAGGTCCAAGCACCAATTACGTCCGCATCTTCGGGCCCCAACTCTACGTGCATAGTTGAAATAATTTACAACCAATCAATCCTCCCATGATTCACGAGTCGAATTAAACCAAGTAATAGCTGCAATTGAGACGTCCCTTGCGATCAGAAAGGTGGCAAAGCAAGGAATGCAAACTTGAGAATGAGACTACAGTAGTGCACGCGGTACCTTGCAAGTTCACCCCCCACAATTCAACCATCCCGCAATTCAACGATTGAATTTGCGGGGAGTTTGACTTGCAATTTGACCTCTGCCCTGCCATTTGACCTGCAGAGAGACACAAAACCTCAAATGCCACGCAGAAAACATGCCATTTGACGTTGTCTCGCAATTTGATTGCTTCACAATTCGACCCTGGCCTAGCCATGAATTAGGGTCGAATTGTGGGGCATCACCTGCACACAGATCTGGTTAATTTCGCACAGAGATCAACAAAATATCCAAACAATCATCCTTCAAATGATAAAAACTCGAAAACTCACGGGACAGTCGCGGATGTCACCCATTCCACCGGCACTCCTCAGCCGGTTGCCAAAGGCTTCCACGCCAGACGGCTGGGACGTGAGAGCCGATGCACTCACGTAATGCACCATTTGGGTGAAGGGGAGTGGCTCTGAAGTGGCACCGCATGCTTGACACACACTCTGTTCCACCAGGCTCATGGCAAAGCGTTGATGAGGAACACACGTCCTCGATTGGCACCCGTCCTCCGGCTCTCCCGGCGACAAGTGCGCGTGTATCCGAAGCAAAATCGTCTCCTGCAACGGTCATTCGGACTCGAAAATTATCTCTCAAATTCAATACTGTACTGTAATCCAGATTCTGCTTTACGACACGTGATACAAGCAACGACACCCATCTCTGAACCAGTCCGTAAGCACTGTTCTACGAATATTGTCAGTTAATATGTACTGCACATTACAAACCTAAACGTTTTCTTCATGCTTTAACGAATACTCCTTCCGAGAGGGTGGGAGACCCACAAAAGAAAAGCGCAACGAAAATGAATTACAAATAATTTGCAGCATTGGTCGACTTCGTGACGAAACACGAGGGGTTCTCCCTGACAGAGAAGAAAAAACCGTTTACTCAATGAAAAAAAAATATGTTGATCCCGCTTCGTATTTTCAATTTAGAAAATGTTCGCATGAACGATTGTTGAACCTTCAAAAGGGCCAGCAAGGTTTCGGAGATTACCAAATAAAGAACCCAACTACGGTTTCACGGGAAGGAAAATGAAATGAGCATTTCTTCGCCAACTTTTCCCACTGCAGTAGCAATAAAAGTCGGGGGAAATATGACATTTTAAACTGTACTGTTGAGCATATTGGCAGTCCCGAGACCAAGGTTATTTTTTTTCGGTGATTCAGTATTTACTAGCTCAAGTACGGTGTCACTGCAACATTTCTCAGACAAACAGATTTCCTCATGCTTCCCGGAAAATACTCAAGTACAAGTAAGAAAAAAATGTCCGTATATGACCCTTGAATCCTCCGCCAAAGAATAAAATCATTAATGCTTCTACCCTGACGGCGTCAATTTGATTGCGAAAACGCACTTTCGTTTGCTAAGTACAACAGTACCTTTCTGGGACTTGCGGCAAAAAAAATGAAAACAGATGAAAAAACAACAGATAATCAATCCTCCACTTCCTTAAAAACGTATAAACTGGACTTCCCCAGTTGAGTTCTACAAACTGGATCTCTCCAAGAACAAACCGGTCTCAAAAACCCTCTTGCGTAGTCTACTAAACTTAACTAGGTCAAAAACGAAGAATAGCAAAATTACGAAATCATCACTATCCGGGCAACCTCTGAAGGACTCACTTTTGCGTTCAAAAGCTACAAACCTTGTGGTATATGTTTATCGATCACCCTTGCTCTAGTGTCGGGAACTTCACTTCGCATTGAATTGATTTGTTGGTTTGGTAATTTGGGAGAATAATTGAAAAATATTTACGTAATTAATTTAGGAACTTTCTTTTATGTGGAAGTTCCTCCGGCTCATCCCAGGCTAACCGGTGCTTGCATTTCTTTCCAACCTTTTCTGAATTTCTTTGTTCTTCTCTTTGGCGTGCAACAATAATGTACTTATTCCATTAAGAGCTTAAGAAAGATTTACAAGTATTGGAATTCAATGAAGAGACCCTTTCTGAAATCTTCAAGGATCAAGATGAACTGTTGGCCTTATATGATTTCTCATCAAAGATTCTCTCTAATTTGCTCATTCAACTGAACCTCATACAGAAACAAGCTGAAGACCTTGTGCTTTAAAATTAATTTTTACATATATTTTGTTTCCAATGTCTGGTAATGAATGGGTGTATGCATACATGTCAGATGTCCAGTTGTATTTTGTATTTTCTTTTATTTTTGTTATCAATTTGTGCTCTGTTTCCTGCGCTGAAGTGATTAAATGTCTTTGAGTGGATTTGGGTTGGGTGGGGAGGGGGTTTGGATGTGGAAATCTTGATTGAACCTTGTGAACGCTGAAAAGCAGCAAATTGAGTGTTCTGTTCATTCATTCATTCCTTCAAGAGAAACTACAATGTTGTACTCTGGAATCAGAGGATATCATGAGCTAGCGTGACCACCAACAGGACAGCAACTCTACCTCTGGAAAGCCACCCCACGGACCACAGCCGAGCAAGCATGAAAAGAAAACATGAAGCATTGTGTCTAGTAGAAAGGCCTCCTGTGCCGTGACACAACTTCGTTTTTCGCAATCGACACTGAAAAACGCAGAACATCAACTCACGAAACACTCTGCAGCATCGTCCATGCAGCCCAACTGTAGGCGCTGCTGGTTGCAAAACGTCGATGCCAGCGCCTTTCGCAACGCATCCGGGTGCAGGACGCCATCGCCCCCGAGTTGGAATTGCTTGAACAGCTCCTGAAAAAGATTCGATGCAAAATTCTCATTTTCGCAAGGAAAAACAGATCACGTCAAGAAGACGCTTTTCCGACTTTTCTTCCTTATACCGTTTTTACTCGAGTACCACGCACCCTTTAGTAAGGGGTTTTTCCGTTGGAAATTTGGCTAAAATCTTATCCCCAAGTAAGACGCACGCCCCAATTTCTAGTGAATCTAAAACCAGAAAATTACGAAAATAAAAACAAAAAATTGACTTTAGACATCAATTGAACAAAAATCTGATCAATTTTCAACTTTTTCAGTACAAAAAAGTATTCTTGTTACATTTTTTCCAAATTTCTCCAGTATAATCAAGTATAATGCACACATAACTTCCTAAAACTTCTTGAAAAATTTTTACCCACTTATGACACGCACCCCTTTTTTTCTTCTGAAATTTGAGAAAAAAGGTGCGTGGTACTCCAAGTAAATACGTAATACGATATTGAGCGTGAGCAAATACGTTGATAGAGTCGAATTCAGTTACGACGAATTTTCTTTCATGGTCCCGGCAGCTTCGCCATGGAGGCAAAGTTATAAAAATATCATTTGACCAACTAATTTCAGACTGTAATATCTCAGTACAGGTATAACGAATTTTCGGCATCGATTCCGTTCATAAGCCATAGGAGTTATTTAATGATCAGCAGAAAAGTGGGGGAAAAAAATCTGACTGCAGCGTTCCAACTTCATCAGACAAGAAAAACTTCTGGTCCAGAGAATCCAACGTTCAAGAATATAAACGGCATGAAATATTTCTATGAAATTCTTCAATTTGATACAAGAATGTATGCCTTCCTTTCAAATAAACAGTATGTTGAAGAAAATTTTCCTTTACAGTACAGTACTGTCCTTCGAAGAACAAACAGGTTTGCATGAATAAGTTTATTTGAAAGGAAGTATTTCTCCCATTAGTACTTCTGTTCCATATGTTTTTTCAAGATAAACAGCACAATAAGTGGAAACTCACGTTCGTTACGAGAGAAATACTGTGCAGTATAAATCTCATTTTTTTCCTTTCATTTCATCTGAGACTTGAAGATTATGAAAAGTCTTAAATTACTGCATCGGCTGGAATACAGTCTTGAAATTACCCATCCTCAACAAAACTTCGGTCTAAAATGCGTTTAAAAAAAAAACATGAATATCGATATACCGAATTTTCATTGGGTCCCCGGGAGTTCGTTGTATGATGAGATTTTGCGGCATTTCAAGCGCATTACCGCAATTAACGAAACCCTTTCGTACGAACCACTTCAGACAAAAATTCCTGCGATGAAGTAAATTTTTCTCTACAACGACTTTATTTCCCGCAGACTTCATTTTTCCAGTCAAGCTGGCGCAATGTAGCACTTCCGCTAGGAAATTACCCTCACGAAATGTCCCGAATAACGTCGAGTCAACTTACTTCACTACGGTACTGTACTGTACTGTATTTAATCTTTCGAATTTCAAAGCCTCCAATCCCATTCACGTACCTTCAAAGCACAGAAAATACACGTCTCCCCGGCGCAAGCGTGATTACTCAGCTCTCGGAAACTCCTTCGAAACACATCCAAGTGCCAAAGGACCTAGAAACACGAACAATTCAGTTGATCAACTCCCGCAGAAGCCACGAGACAAGGGTGTGGTCGTTGATGGCAGCAGGGCAAAAGCACTACACGTCATTCACATTTTCCAGGCAAAGTGAAAAAACAAATACTGTATTGTAATACAGTACACGACAACGGCAAGTCACATTCACGAAAAGCACATGCTGTGAACTTACCGGGTACGGTCCAGTAGAGAACGGTACATGCGTATGGAATGAGCGAGAATTGACGCTTCCAAACCTTTACTCTTTTACATCCATCCAAAATTACAGAAGACATGCACATGCGAATACTGTACGGAGACAAGGTGAAGGGTAATTTACCATGCATAGGCTCAGAGCATTCGGCGAAGCAATCAAATGTTTCAAAGCAACGCACAGTACAAAGCATTCAGTTTCTCCACGTAGGTGGAACATGGAAATGGGGGGGATCCACGAGTGAGGCTCATTCTGAAGAGAATCCGTAATTACGGCACGGATTATCTGATCGTTGATAATGAATCCATCAGAAAAATTAACGTGGGCTTCTCTATTACGAAGGGAAGAACGGTCGTTATTCAGTAGACAAATTATTATTTCTTCTGCTACCAGGTTCAGCGTGGGACAGAAAATGTTCAACTTTAAATCTCCAAGTACTGTACCGTGCAAGAATATATACAGTATTCTTCGAAGTCGAATCTCGGCAAGAAAACATCACAATTGCTTTCACCAATTCCATCAAAAACGCTGCACTAGTCTCAAGCTTCTGCATGCAGAAACATACCTGCATCAACTTCGATATCTACTTGTTCCAGCATAACAATCTACGACACCAATTAGACTCCTTTTTTTTTCAACGGATTGCTTCCAAACACTTCTACGGTAGCTCCCCTAATCTTCAAAATTTGTTTCCTCACGTAAACCAAATACAATACGGTAAAATCTCGTTGAAACGAAGAAATTCGGACCAGTGAAATAGCTTCGTTATAAGTTTATAACAAAAAATTCGTTAGAAGCGAACTCAAATTAAAATCCAGCTATTGGACAGGGACCTAAAAATAGTTCTTTAAAATCAATTATTCGTTATAACGAGATTCGTTGTATCGAGATTCTACTTCCAAAAACGGATCCAAGAATTAAAGATAGACTCGAGTTTCTCTGTGAACCGATTTTTTGTTCGTCTCCAAGCGTGAAGAGCCCCATGTTATGCGGTTCTTTCTAACTACAACAAAATTCTCTCGACAGCAAATTTCTGCAGTCCACCTGCACAACGAAAGACCGTTCTTTCGGCGCTAGACGAGAACTGCCTATACTGTACTGTAATGCAGTCGCAATAGTGCAAATAAATATCACTCAAACCGTTTTCCAGGTCATCTGAGTCAAAATCCAACGAAATTTTTCGATAATCCCGCATTCTAAAATACAGTAGAATCTTCTTGAAAAATTGAACCTTGTGAACGCTGAAAAGCAACAAATTGAGTGTTCTGTTCATTCATTCATTCCTTCAAGAGAAACTACAATGTTGTACTCTGGAATCAGAGGATATCATGAGCTAGCGTGACCACCAACAGGACAGCAACTCTACCTCTGGAAAGCCACCCCACGGACCACAGCCGAGCAAGCATGAAAAGAAAACATGAAGCATTGTGTCTAGTAGAAAGGCCTCCTGTGCCGTGACACAACTTCGTTTTTCGCAATCGACACTGAAAAACGCAGAACATCAACTCACGAAACACTCTGCAGCATCGTCCATGCAGCCCAACTGTAGGCGCTGCTGGTTGCAAAACGTCGATGCCAGCGCCTTTCGCAACGCATCCGGGTGCAGGACGCCATCGCCCCCGAGTTGGAATTGCTTGAACAGCTCCTGAAAAAGATTCGATGCAAAATTCTCATTTTCGCAAGGAAAAACAGATCACGTCAAGAAGACGCTTTTCCGACTTTTCTTCCTTATACCGTTTTTACTCAAGTACCACGCACCCTTTAGTAAGGGGTTTTTCCGTTGGAAATTTGGCTAAAATCTTATCCCCAAGTAAGACGCACACCCCAATTTCTAGTGAATCTAAAACCACAAAATTTCAAAAATAAAATCAAAAAATTCACTTTAGACATCAATTGAACAAAAATCTGATCAATTTTCAACTTTTTCAGTACAAAAAAGTATTCTTGTTACATTTTTTCCAAATTTCTCCAGTATAATCAAGTATAATGCACACATAACTTCCTAAAACTTATCGAAAAATTTCGTTGGATTTTGACTCAGATGACCTGGAAAACGGTTTGAGTGATATTTATTTGCACTATTGCGACTGCATTAAATGCACACATAACTTCCTAAAACTTCTTGAAAAATTTTTACCCACTTATGACACGCACCCCTTTTTTTCTTCTGAAATTTGAGAAAAAAGGTGCGTGGTACTCCAAGTAAATACGTAATACGATATTGAGCGTGAGCAAATACGTTGATAGAGTCGAATTCAGTTACGACGAATTTTCTTTCATGGTCCCGGCAGCTTCGCCATGGAGGCAAAGTTATAAAAATATCATTTGACCAACTAATTTCAGACTGTAATATCTCAGTACAGGTATAACGAATTTTCGGCATCGATTCCGTTCATAAGCCATAGGAGTTATTTAATGATCAGCAGAAAAGTGGGGGAAAAAAATCTGACTGCAGCGTTCCAACTTCATCAGACAAGAAAAACTTCTGGTCCAGAGAATCCAACGTTCAAGAATATAAACGGCATGAAATATTTCTATGAAATTCTTCAATTTGATACAAGAATGTATGCCTTCCTTTCAAATAAACAGTATGTTGAAGAAAATTTTCCTTTACAGTACAGTACTGTCCTTCGAAGAACAAACAGGTTTGCATGAATAAGTTTATTTGAAAGGAAGTATTTCTCCCATTAGTACTTCTGTTTCATATGTTTTTTCAAGATAAACAGCACAATAAGTGGAAACTCACGTTCGTTACGAGAGAAATACTGTGCAGTATAAATCACATTTTTTTCCTTTCATTTCATCTGAGACTTGAACATTATGAAAAGTCTTAAATTACTGCATCGGCTGGAATACAGTCTTGAAATTACCCATCCTCAACAAAACTTCGGTCTAAAATGCGTTTAAAAAAAAAACATGAATATCGATATACCGAATTTTCATTGGGTCCCCGGGGGTTCGTTGTATGATGAGATTTTGCGGCATTTCAAGCGCATTACCGCAATTAACGAAACCCTTTCGTACGAACCACTTCAGACAAAAATTCCTGCGATGAAGTAAATTTTTCTCTACAACGACTTTATTTCCCGCAGACTTCATTTTTCCAGTCAAGCTGGCGCAATGTAGCACTTCCGCTAGGAAATTACCCTCACGAAATGTCCCGAATAACGTCGAGTCAACTTACTTCACTACGGTACTGTACTGTACTGTATTTAATCTTTCGAATTTCAAAGCCTCCAATCCCATTCACGTACCTTCAAAGCACAGAAAATACACGTCTCCCCGGCGCAAGCGTGATTACTCAGCTCTCGGAAACTCCTTCGAAACACATCCAAGTGCCAAAGGACCTAGAAACACGAACAATTCAGTTGATCAACTCCCGCAGAAGCCACGAGACAAGGGTGTGGTCGTTGATGGCAGCAGGGCAAAAGCACTACACGTCATTCACATTTTCCAGGCAAAGTGAAAAAACAAATACTGTATTGTAATACAGTACACGACAACGGCAAGTCACATTCACGAAAAGCACATGCTGTGAACTTACCGGGTACGGTCCAGTAGAGAACGGTACATGCGTATGGAATGAGCGAGAATTGACGCTTCCAAACCTTTACTCTTTTACATCCATCCAAAATTACAGTAGACATGCACATGCACATGCGAATACTGTACAGAGACAAGGTGAAGGGTAATTTACCGTGCATAGGCTCAGAGCATTCGGCGAAGCAATCAAATGTTTCAAAGCAACGCACCATGGATACAGTACAAAGCATTCAGTTTCTCCATGTAGGTGGAACATGGAAATGGGGGGGGATCCACGAGTGAGGCTCATTCTTAGAGAATCCGTAATTACGGCACGGATTATCTGATCGCTGATAATTAATTCATCAGAACAGTGAGTGTGGGCTTCTCTATTACGAAGGAGAGAACGGGCGTTATTCAGTTCAAATTATTATTTCTTCTGCCACCGCGTTCAGCGTGGTACAGAAAATTTTCCACTCTAAATCTCCAAGCACTGTACTGTACTGTACTGTACTGTGCAAGAATATATATTCTTGAAGTCGAATCTCGGCAAGGAAACATCACAATTGCTTCCACCAATTCCATCAAAAACGCTGCACTAGTCTCAAGCTTCCGCATGCAGAAACATACCAGCATTAACTTCGATATCTACTTTTTCCAGCATAACAATCTACAACACCAATCTGAAATTTTTTTCGGATTTTCAACGGATTGATTCCAAACACTTCCCCGGTAGCTCCACTAATCTTCATAAACCAAATACAATACGGTAAAATCTCGTTGAAACGAAGAGATTCGGACCAGTGAAATAGTTTCGTTAAAAGTACAAAAAAATCGATAGGAGCGAACTCAAATTAAAATCCAGCTATTGGACAGGGACCTAAAAAAACAATTCTTTAAAACCAATTATTCGTTATAACGAGATTCGTTGTACCGAGATTCTATTTCCAAAAAAAGGATACAACCATTAAAGATAGACTCGAGTTTCTCTGTGAACCGATTTTTTTTTGCCTCCAAGCGTGAAGAGCCAGCCCCATGTTATTGGTGGTTCTCTCTACAGCAAACTTTTACATGGTCCCTTGAATTTTGTTGTGGAAACAGTCCACATGCACAACGAGAGACCGTTCTTTCGGCGCTAGACGAGAACTGCCTATACTGTAATGCAGTCGCAATAGTGCAAATAAATATCACTCAAACCGTTTTCCAGGTCATCTGAGTCAAAATCCAACGAAATTTTTCGATAATCCCGCATTCTAAAATACAGTAGAATCTTCTTGAAAAGAATAATCAATTACTGTACAACGATTTCGTATTTTAGGTCCCTGTCCAATAGCTGCAAGATGGTACAGTATTTGAGTTCGCTCACAGCAAATTTCTCGTAGCAAGTTATAACCAAGCTATTTCACAAGTCCAAGTGGGTTCGTTATAACGAGATGATACACTGCATCACATCATTCAAGGCCACGTGGAATTGAAAGCAAAGCATGAATGCCATCATTCCCAAAGCGATCGACCATGATTTGAGCAACCGTGGCAGCGTAACCCGCCCGGCAGCTCACCAACTTTTTTCTTGCTTCCCCTATGACACATACCAATTCATCAACTCTAATGCGCAGCAGCAGCAGCAACAACAACAACAACAAAACATGCTTCCGACATGCAGGCTGCGGTGCACCCTCACCCAAGTGCTATGGTGACTTCTCAATTATCCTGGTCTGCTCGAGCCCCTCCTGAACATCACATCTTTTTGTGACCAGCAAACCCACCCGTTCATAAATTAGAGCAGAACCGTCGTGACTTCTGGAAAATGGAGAATATTTCGCAATAGAACATCACTTGCTACAGTGCTTTACTCGAACGTACAGCACAACAGGTGAGTGAACAACGAACGGCCAATACAGTAGTAGTAGGCACTGTTCCCGCTAATCGAAAGCTCGCGGGCAATTCGATCACACGCGTGTCTCGCCACACCCATGCGGACAGTGACATTCATTCCTCTTAGAGCCTCCAAGCAGAAAAGAGATGAACGAAGGATTTCAGTGAGATTCAACCGAGTCATGATCCGTCCACGGGCCTCGTAACCTTCACAAATCAAACCCAGAGAAACTTTCCGTCGCCAACATCCTCAACCCAATCCCACACCAAAACAATCGATCCTGAAGCCCGGACATTCAGTAGTACAGTACAGTGTTTCATTTGCGCAGGGCTTTTCAATCTTTTTTTTTTCACACAAGACCTCTTGGGTATCATGTACAGTACTGTACACGCACTACCAGTCCAGCTTGTCTAGCACAGATTCAAAACCAATCAAACCTTGATAAGCCGCCGCCACTTAATCGTGAAGTTTACGGCGGTTTAACTAGGTCGGTGATTAATCAAAAAAGCTGAAATAATACGAAAATCCAGTGTAATACGAAATAAAATTATTACAGTATTCGTCTACAAAACAATCAAGATAACCCTGGTCCATTTAAATTAAATCTAGCTAATGTCCCCACGAAGTAAATTATGTCATCCCTGAGTTTTTTTTTTTCCTCATTAGAGACCGTTCGCAGAAACTTGCTCGTTGGCGGGCTATCGACGAAAAGATTATTTGGGATTCAGGAGCATACTGTAATTGAGTTCTCAATAATTTTGGCGGATGACATTTAAATGGGATTTTTCTAAATGAATTGGCGGTCGACGAGGATGGCGTCTTAACGGGCTTTGACTGTAATGCCAACGATTTTCCCTAGGAATTTCCACCAACACGCCTTTACGTTTCAAAAGCACTCGCACCATTGGTTGAAAAGCCCTGCGTATGTACATTTGAATCAACCCTCACCGCGTAAAATCACAGTTCTTTAGGGAAAATCTCACCCGAGTAACGTGGTAAACAGCTTGCTTTTGGTGCAGACGACGCGGAGCCATGCTGTTCTAGAATATGACACTACGTCCGAACACTTATGCCCGGCACTGTCACCCGCTCCAACGTGAAGCCAAGAAGCCCGGGCATCGCTGAAGAAGCAACCAAACTTATCTTAATCATGAAGACCGACACCAACATTGCGATTTGACGAAGAAAATGTCGAATGAGCACATTGAAAAACAATGAAAGCTTCATGGTCAACCCGACGAATTCACAATCCAATGTTACAATCCAAATGCTTCTCCTGATGATCACTTTTCTTGGTTCCATTTACCAACTACCGCACTATAGAAAGCATTACTGTATTGCGTATTTTCATAGCAGACCTCCACAATTATCCGTTTCATGCAACTCGTAACCTTCAGCAAATCTGTACCTTTTAAAATGCTCAAGCTTCTATACAGCTAATCCTGAGATCATTCCGACAGTCGGTAACCTTCATTCGCACACTTACAATCTCGAAATTCGTGAACACTGTACTCAAGTGGGGAGAGGCAGTTCCTCGTAGTGAACTAGAACAGCAGAATTTCAGATTAGCGAGCCTTTCTTGTTAACCAAGTAGATTCAATTGGAAAGAATGAACTCCTTCCAGCTTAGTGTATCGTTCAGCGTACAAGTGAAATACAGCGTAGAACTGTCGATCAGCGTAGTACTGCCGATAACGCATCGCCAGGTGCACGATCACAATCTCCCAAGGGTAGATACGGTACTCGTAAACTTAAACCACGGCCGGAATTTACAGGGATATCTCAATCACCTCTGTTCCACAGAACACGGCGGGTTTCGAGAAGAGAAATAGCAAAATTCCGAACATTTCAACCACTGGGGCCACAGCACCAGACGGTGCGAAAAAGCAAAATAACTACTGCATGAGAAAAGCGCCGCAGATAGAAAAATCCTGCGCGCACACTGATCACACTCCCGAGGGCACCTCAACTCCATTCCAACGAGACGTTCTGCACAACAAAAAATTGACGAACGAATGTTGTCAAGAAAGTAGACGAATGCAGTGTAATCTCACGAAAAATCCACGGGTAACATCAAAACCGCTTCCGGAACCCTCGAACTAAGCACCTCATCATACCATCAGATCACTGGAACACATAACCAGCTTCTAACTACGGGCAACATCGTTGACGGTAGCTGCCTCAGATCTATCTTGAACATCGCATCCAATTAAAAATCACAGTATGGCACGGTAGACACACTCACGCAAACGCTTCCTGAAGCGATAACCACGCGGTTGTGAAAGCAAACTTCACTGTCAGTTACGTGATCACTGTACTGTATCACTTCTTCGTCACAAAAAATAGACGTCGACTACGAAGTGAAAGCGACTTCATGTCGAGCTGAAAACTCCGTAAATACGGTACGTGCGCTTGTCAGCGAGTAATACGCATTTGAAAACTCCTCGCTTACCCACGGATACCGTCGTTGGCATCCAGAATGGGCGAAAATAACAAGACTCAGCTATTCCATAAAACGATAAGCATCACCTGCACTTCGGGAATAAATAGCACTTTTCAGACATCATATTGATCTGCGACTTTTACGACCACCGAGAGAATAATTTAGGGACAAAACGCAATAATCGAAGAGTCGCGGAATCGCACAAAGAATTCAAATTGATCCCGAAACATAATAGGGAGAAAAAAATTGACACCTGAATACCTGCCCTTGGTTGCAGTAATTAAAGGTAGATAGGACGCACGCGGCCATATTGTGTGCTCATTCAGTCGAAGTCACACTAGTGGCAGATATCCTGTACCAGGTAGGGCCAGGATGATGGACATGCCTTACTTAATATACAGTAGTCAAAATTCTTTAAAACGTTTTGTTCTCTTTGAAAAGCCATTTTAAATTTTAAAACGAAGCTGGAATAAATGCTTCATATATGTACACTATAAATAATTTTACACAAATTTTAGCAAGCTTTTTAGATTTTCATACGTTTTCTTAATGATAATATGAACAACAAAATTTGGATTTTCACATTTTTTTCGCCAATTATTTACACATCCTATAAATGAATAATCAATCGGATATAAAATTACATATCAGTCATTCTGATGATCACACTGATTTGTAAAAAAAAAGCCAGACTTGAGATTATCTGCAGATAATTGCTCAAGCCTAGCTTTTTTTTTCATCAGCAGTCCTGTGATCATCAGAATGATTGCAAATTTGCATCAATTTTGCCAACCCATATGGTTTGTAATACTGTAGTGCAATTAATCAGAGCAAAAATGTGTTATCCTGAGATATATTAGAGGAAACTGCAGGAACAAAAATTGTCCATACACCATTTTTCTAAAAGAATATGTTAGTGAATATTTTAATCATACCCCAATCTATACTATATTATGTTATGGAGATATTGTTGGAGCCCAGCATATACTGTTTACTGTTTAGATGTTAGCTCACCTTATGTTTCAAATCTGAAGTGCGAATTATTCAGCAGTTGCTTGTGAATGTGATATACAGTACTGTTGGGACATTTATTCATGGGGCAGCTATTATAAAGAGGGCCACTTATTATTATACATATTTCCGCCAAGGAAATCGTGGAAAAGAAACGTGGAATGTAGTAAACATTCTGGGTTTCGAAGTTTGTTCCCTATTATGCAGACAAAGCAGTAAATATGTTGGGAGTGATGATGCCCAACATACTTATCCTGCATCGGGAGGGCGCGAAGGCTCCAAAAAATAAATGGCAATATTAAAATTTGTTAACACCTTTGTGTGAAATTGTACGTAATAAAATTATCGTAACAAATCTCAAATATTTCAGTACTGCATAACAAAATTGATGCCTATATTTTAGGGCATGGTAAGATATATGAATGAAAGTTGATTCAGAAGGGAGTACAATACTGTACTGAATATTTCACCACATGTAATTTTTTTCATTTTATTTTCAAGAAAAACAGCACTTCAGCATAGAAACACAGGTTCAACATAAGAAAAGTTCTACATATTTATTTAAAAAATGTATCTTCATTCATCAGAAAAAACTTAGTAATGTTGATGAATCATGAATTACCAGTTCTGGAAACATTTATGGCATCTGATGTTAACTATTTCCCACAAAATTGCAGACTAAAATTTGTTTTAACAAATTTTTATCAGCTCCCTCGGCCTGATGGGATTTTTTTTATTGAAACGAGATACCGTATAATATTTTGTATCATTTCTTGATTTCTAGGCCGATGCACTGTTCTGTCGGGAGTTCTGAATTGTTGCTGTTGGTTGGAAGAACTCTTCTGAATGAGGGCCACACGCTGGGCAGCTCGCTGCACCACACCAAAAATGGACTGTGAACATGTCTACAGCACATCGTTCCCGACCAAGAAGTACAGTACTTTGCCGCGCGACAAGAAATGAAACTCGCGAGTTCTCCGGCCAAGGACAATCTTTTTTTAATCTTCAACGCTTGAAATTGACACAGTCGCTTCATTTCGCGACACAAGCAAACCAGAGCAGCACACCTCGAAAAATTCTCTTTTGATTCCGGGTTTAACACCGGTACTTTACACATCCAAGACAAACAAATTTGCTGCGCTGCGTTTAAAAAAATCCACTCCCGATTACCGGCAAGAACGGCAACCATCGAGTTTTCCCCAAAGCACGAACCACCACCAAGTCCTGTACCTTCCTCTCTCTCTCTGTCCAGGTGACATTCTCGTCAAACCAGCTCTACGCATCAAATAAATACCAAGCAAATGTCCTGCAATTTTTGGCACAGGTCTGCTGGCCTGCACTTGACCATTTGGGGAAAACTCGAGTAGCTCCATTCCATAAAATCCTTTCCAAAAAAAAAAAATTATAATTTCAGCACAGCGTGTCTTCACACAGTTTTTGCCCAGAAAATGCAGTAGCTCCAACAACCTTTATGCCAACACTGTCCTTTGATCATCCTGGCTTCATCCAACACAATCCTCCTACAACAATGGCTGCTTTCAAACCCTGCTCAGAAAACGGCCACCACTTCTGAAAGCCCGACGGATGAACCGAATGGCACTTGATGCAATACAAGTCCGCTTCGAAGTTAGTCTGAAACCCCAGGTACAACATCTTCTGGATTGTGAAATTGCGACCAAATTTTGGGAAGAAAAAAATAAACAATTCAATGGGTAAAACTTTCAATCCCGAGGGTTTCAGACACTCGGAAGCCCCGATCAAACAACCAACCAACCAATATAACTCAATTCAATTTCAGATCAATCAATTTTCTCCCTCAGCACAATACTGTACCTATCTTTGAAACCTTTCCAACCAAAAATTTCTGATCGAGGCCCTACCATCAGGGAGGTTGGTCAGAAAAAAAGGCAGTCGACTAAATAAAATGGCACAAAGCAGGTGGATAAAAATCTGGAATGCAACATAATACTTCCGCCCAACCTACCAAGGCGCCATATTCTGAGCAGGTCTGCCAACATTGCCAAAAAAAAAAAAAAAAAAGCTTGCAGCAGAGACAAAAGCAAAAATTCGAACATTCAGCCCCGACAAAAGAAACAACATAACGTAAACACCTGGAATCAAAAATCCTGGGTCACAAATCAATGGACAACAAAACCAATACCTGCGCCGGACTCGCACCGCCTTCCAACGGCCGTCAAACAGCCGAAAAATCCTCCCAATGCAGACTCAAAAAATGTCTTTCTTGGCCGAACAGGTAATGATCGTGTTCCCGTAAGCCCAGTTCTCCACAGAAACACTTCGCATTTTCAAAAATCAAGCGCGGGCGGAGGAAATCAACAAAAGGGAACAGCTGAAAAGAACAGCCCATATCACAGGACAGTTAAAATAAAAATAAAAAGCGCAAAAGAAGGAACCCGGGTGGTTTGGGGACAGTATCACAGTGGCCAAGAATTTTGTGGGAAACGGGAGGGGAGGGGGGTTGGGGACGACAATGACGACGAAAGGTTCTCTTGCAGAAAGAATGCCCGCCCCGCTGATTGCAAAAATAATGCCAAAGTTGTCAATTAAGCTACTCGTGGCCACGGCCGGTACAAAACAAACACACCTTTTATCACCCGGCCACCAAGCGTAACCACGGCCATTGCGAACACAAGCCGCAGATCTCCCAACGGCCTCTTTGATCTCAAGAAACAACTGGGTACTATCGTGGTACACAGCTGACCGGAAGGAATATCCCTCGGGAACGGAACGACACCGAGCTTCTGCAAAAACTCGTCCATTCCGACAGACATGGAACAGGAGGAGGAGGAGGAGGAGGAGACGCCGAAGAGACCGGTCAGGGTTTGCACGGGCCAGCTGCGTACTCCGGTAGCACCAACAAATGAAAGAAAGAAAGGGGAGAAAAAAAAAAAAAAAAGGAACTGAAAACGGAGAGTGAAAGGTGGCAAAATTTGGTGGGAGCACAGGTTTCGGAACGACTTCCACGGGGGACTTGTCTCCTGTCCTCTTCTCCGACAACACGGGAGACAAGGAAGAGGACGAGAATCAGAACTGGACATTCAGGCTTGCAGTGGAAGGACTCGGAATAGTTCCCAGGGTATGTGCGATTTGCGGAATGACGAGGAACAGAAACGCTGAATTAAGATCCGAGGGAAAGCAGAGCTCACATCCCATCACAATATGTCTTGACCGTGCGCAGACTCACATCTTTGTTCTCTTCTTCCTTCATCTTCTTCAACACTGCTTCCCACTCTGCAAAATGGGGGAAGGCAAAAAGGGAGCAGATGAGACGTCGTCGTCATCATCATCATCAACCAACACCGACAGACAGATACACTCACCACAAGACAGGAATTTACGGACGATGTCCACGTTGTAAGACTCGTCCAGGGTTTTGTCCGAAACTTCGCGGTACATCATGGCGAAGTCCCGCACAGGCACTTGGTTCACTGGTGGGGGAGGAGGTGGTGGTAGTGCAGCAGTAGCACCAAGCAGCTCCGGCTCATTCCCTGCCGCCACTTCCTCCACTTCTTCCAAATACTCCTCGTACGTCTCCTCTGCCTCCACTTCCGCCTTTTCCACGCTCTCCAGCTCCCCTCGTCGCTCGGGCCCTTCTCGCTACGAGAAAGCGCAACAGGTCAAGTCAAGTCAAGTCAACTCAACCCCTTCGTCAGCACCGAACGAAAGAGGACGGCAATAGAAGAAAAGTCATTGCGCAGTGACAGAACAAATCGGCAATTTTCAAGCGTTCCACAAGTTGAGCAAACGCACACCGGAGCGCATTGAGCGAGTGAATACTGGGAACGATGTCTCAAAACAGGAAGAACACCCAAAATACGAGGGGTAAGGGATTGATTATTCTTCAGAAAAAATCAATTGGCACGAGAATTCAGTCCACAAATTCATTTTTCAAAAGTCACCCCGCCGGCTTTCTGCTCTTCGCGCAGAAGACCTGGCGCCAATCTCGCAGATTTTTTTTTTTTTTTTTTTTTTTTTTGCAGCCCGGCCTCTCAAGAATTTTTAAAATCGACATGGCATTAATTCCAAGGATGTTCATCAACAGACGCGACATTCTCATCCCAGGTGGCGGCTGTTGATGAAAATGGCGGAATTCATAATCAATTCATCGCAAAAACCATTGGAATTATTGCCATATAAATTTAAAGAATCCTGAAGGGAAAGCTGGGTACATCAAAATAATCAGCAAAATGGGCGTCTCATCTTTTGAAGGAAGAGCAGAAGGATGCCAAGGTGACTTTCGCATATATTTTCTGAAAAATATGTCGAACGGGGCTGAATTTTTCTCTTGTGCCAAAAAATGCCTCCGAACAATTACTACTTTTCAGCTCAATCGTAGGCCTTTTAAATTTCTCTTACGAGAACATTTGTTGGACCCCTCGTATGTCTCATGGGTACAGTAAAAATTCTATTTCACGTCAAATCTATACAAACCGAAACACTTCATTTTAATGGACGAAATAATGGGAAAATTCAACCCACGGATGTTCAGTTTTCCAATAACGCGCTCGACAGGTAAAAAAAAAACACACATGCCCGACAGTCACCAATCCTACCTGCGAAATCCCACCCATCCGCATGTTGTGCAAGATGACTGCTGCTTCAATCTCGGCAGAACTGAACTGCTCAGCAGCACCACTCAACATGCTGTCATCGACAGTGCCGAAAGACACGTCAGCAAACGGAACAGTCATGTCCAGCGTGCCATCGGGGCCGAGGAAGGTAACCGGCGGCATGTCACTCGTACCGGACAGCGAAGAATGTGAGGACACGGACTTGGGCCCACTCGCTTGCCCCGCACGTTGGGAGCGCTTCACCGGCACCGTCTGCACCTGGACAACCAGTAATATTCACATCCGTCTCACGAGACACACTCCGATCAAATACCGAACCCTGTATTCCACAATACAGTACACTTATGAACGTCATCAGAACTCGTTCTCCCACTCAAAATTTAACGTAAATCAACAGAGCATCGGCGTCTGTCTCAAAAAACCTCCGACGCAAGCAATCATCGTATTTTACGGGAAAAAATACTCTGTAGCATCTAACCGCATTGTAAGAAATTAAGTTCGCCCCATGCCCCCACCCAAACATCAGACAGGACGTAAAGTGCCGTAATTAAAAAAAATCGGATGTACCCGTATTGTACTGTATTTACTTGCGTACCATACACCCTCGAGTTAGACGCGCACCCGGGGTTTTCAGTCTAGAGTTTTGATTGAATTCTACCTCCCGAGTACGAAGCGCACCCCATTTTTAGCGACTGCAAAATTTCAAAAATAAGAACACCCGAATTTGAATTCAGGTAGAAATGATCCTGAAATCATCCAACTTTCAACTGTTTCCTTCGCAATAAGTTTCCCGTTAAATTGGTTCAAAATTTCCCATTGAGATCAAATTAATGCACACGTAAACTTCTAAAACTCGTAGAAAAATTTAGACCTCTCAATTTTGAAAATATACAGGTGCGCTTGGCACTCAAGTAAATACGGTAATATCAAGCACCAGAATAAAAACTAGGTCGTCAAAATCAACCTCAATTCAGATCTAGAGAATGGTAAGAAAATTCCCGTGACGTCTGTATCACGTCAAAAGAAATCCCTGAGTTCGGAATTGAGGAGAAAAAAGTAAACAGAAACACATCAGAGCTCAGTAACAAACGCTTAAATCAATACTAAGGCTTCAACTACTGTGCGTCGGGCAGGACAGTACAGTACTAAAGGCCTTTTTGAAGAAAAGAGCACGTCTCGCAACCTTCACACCAGAGACTGAAGGAAGAAAACGTGAATTACCCCGACAGCACACATGGGAACCACTTCAGGCAAGGGCGGATAGTCCAGGACGCCGCCTGGTGGAGAAGAAGTAGTCGTGGTCGGTGGACTGGAGATTGTGGACGACGTGGCAGACATGGACACGTCTCCGTCGCCACGATGCTTGCCGGCACGTGCCATGTCCGCATAGGATACTGGCTTGTCAGTATCCGTGCGGGACGTAGCCGTGGCCGGCAACGAGTGCACGGAATCCCCGTCACTCGAATCGTCGCTCACATCCGACGAAGGCATCGAGACGCACATCTTCACAGGCTTCTTTCCCGACAGAGACGAGGAATCCGGCTTCCGCGTCACCGGCGTCCGTTTCCCACGCTCCGACACCCCGTCCCTCGACGGCGACGCGGCCACCGTGGCAACTCGAGACGGCTTCTTCCTTTGTTTCTTCGTCACAGTCTGGAACTCCTCCTTGTCTTCTGCAGCCAACGTCACGACAGAGTAGAAATCGTCCTTGAAATCCGAATCTCGGAGCTCTCCGTGACTGGATGCCCTCTTCAACACAGTCTCTTCTGATCGCCTGCACAAAAAATGGGGGAAAATGAGAACTGTTTCTTCCCTTCGGAAAACTTCAACTCCACGAGTAAAAAATTACTTGGAAAAATGAATGTCATCCATGCACGAATATAACGTAAAAACAATTACACACAGGATATCTTTCATCAATTTTCGAGTGGAAGATGGAAAATCATTTCCCCGTCAAGTGTACATCTGAGGAGCAAGTGGCAGAGATGAAGTATCAAAATGGCAAGTATCAAGAGGTTTCGGAAAATTGGCAATGGTTTGGAGGTCACCTTGAGGCTTGCTCTTTTGCGCACTCGCCCATTTTATGTGAACTCTTTTGAGACTCGCTGAGGGCAACCCTTTCCTACTTCAGTCAAATACCACGACAACAAAATTTTCAGCACTGTATAAAAAACTATTTTCAAGTCCCCGCAGAAAGCTCATCATTCTCCCAGAAGGAAGGGATTGATGCAACTGATGAAACGCACGATTGAAACAATTTTTTTCAGAAGATCACTCAGTTTTTCCGAACAGTAACAGAGAAAAATCTGAGAATACCAGAAAAGCGACATCCGATTGATTACAGGCAGGCATGACGTCAACATTTTTTACAGATATTAATTTTGAAGATCTCGCTATAACATATTACAGTATTAGTGCAAAACACTTCTATCAAGTCCCCAGAAGTTTCTTGTGACGAGGTTTTACTGAAACATGAGGGTTTAATATTCCACGAACGCACAGTGCCATGGGGTGGCGAATAGTTCTTGCTTCACAAAATCAACACAAGGGTTAAATGCGAAGAAAAGATCAGGCCCGCGCTAAACCGGGAGTTACGAAGAAGTACTCTGCCAACAACACTGATGCGCAACGGACCTGGTAGAGCCGTTTCCGACGTCAGAAGATGCAGAACCCGCCGTTTTCCCATTCACGGCAGACTTATTCCGTTTTTTCTGCGCCGTGCGAAGGTTAGTCACGTCCGCCCCGGTCCGCCGTTTGTCCGGCCGTCCCCGAGGTTTCGGCGCCGCCATCACCTTCGTTTTTGGCTCAATGTACTCCATTGCCTCATTCACCGTCACATTTCCTATATGGCCCTTGATCTCGCTCGCCTCCATTGTCTTCACCACATTCCTCTCCTAGACAGAGGGACACGCGGAATTAATGAAGAACTGACGGGAGGTGACTCACTCGAGGAGTAATTCATTCAATTTGTCCGTGGGGACTCGAATCCTTACAAAATGGCGCCGAACGGTAAACGTAAATGCACAAGCGAATCGACATTATTCTTTCAAAGACGATAAACCGAACAGTGCTTCTCGAACATTTTATTATGAAGGTATTCAGCGATTTCGCGAATATAGTACACATTGCATCAATTCGAATACAGTAGACGATTGACTCTTACACCGTACGGTAAACTTACCGATCTTCTCTATGATACACCTAATTCAGAAAATTCGCTCATTAAAACGAAAATGCCCGAGTCGAATTGATGTTCCGAAATTTTCTCCACTGTTATGCAGGAATTGCATCACAGGCGTCTGCAATTAATAGCTGTCATGAATCAATCTTGCACAGTATTTCTGATGAAAATTCAACACGGAGAGGACATGATAAACTGACGTCCAAAGGTGGAAAAGACACAGACACCGAAGACACGCTGAACATCATTTACAGCCTCAAAGGAAAACTTCCACGAACCAGGAAACTTTGAATTAAAATAAGATATATCTCACGCGGAAGTTTTCACAATACGCACACCCATAAGAACATTCGGTACCTTGTACGTTCCCGAGATATTCTATTTAGAAGAAAATACAGTAGACCTTCCCTCGTTGATGCTTCACTTCAGAACGGTAAGCTTAACATTTTAAGTTTTCCAAACAAATCGAGGCCAACATCGATTCCTCAGACAGCCACTTTTCGTGATAATACACATTACAGCAAATAATGAAGTAACTTGCTTTTCCCGCAAATTTCCGGACGGATGCAACTTTCAACGACGGAGTAAAATCACGATAAAAAAAATGAACCGGATACAACAAAGAACTCACCTTCTTTCGCTTTTTCTTGTCATTCCCGTTCGGTAAACTCCCATTCACACCCTGTAAAATAATACGTAGAGCGCAATCCACATACAGTAACAGTCACTACACAAGTAAAGAATCCCCAAGGCGACACAGATCCACCACATGAAAACGTTCCTTTCACGCCTTTTACACATAAGGACAATAATTTCCCCTTCTATATACTGTACCCGATTTCGCGAAAAGACGAGAAAACATGCGCCGGAGACAGAAAATCTGCCAAGAAATGCTTCAAACTTCACATGCCAAAATAGGAAAAAAAAAATCTCACGATTTGAGAAGCTTTCAAAACAATCGCATGTTCGCGAGGAAAAAAAAAGCGACGAAATTGAAGGAAAACTCTGCGATGCGTTTTCGGAACGCGTGTGTGACATGCACAGGATAAAAACCCATACAGAATGAAGCTTTAAATCCTGGCATGTCGGATTTGCAGAAACGAACGTACCATGGCAGACGAGCAATCACCGGGCTTGTCGTCGTCGTCATCACTGCGCGCATCACCCGAGCAACCGGGATTGAGCGTCACCGAGCGACTGTCGAGCGATTCCAACTCAAACCCAGGCTAGAGGAAAAGAAGAAACAGACCATTCGTCAACATTCCCGCACTCGGAAGACGCTCCCTTTCATACTCACAGGACAAGTTCTGTCGGGAAGGATCACTTCGGGAGTCTGGAAATCTGCCGCTGGACTGATTTCCAGACAGCTGCCGCTTCGCTGACGATTCTCTGCAGGATCAGCGTCCCCCAGATCCTGCAGAGATCCGCTCAGGGCCTTCTTGCTCTTATCCTGGCGACGCCTTCGCTTCTCCTCCTACACCAGACACAAACATTCTTTTCATTCAGGCGAAATGTTCGAAATCCGCTCGGGAGTGAACTAAATTGGGTTTTGAGGCAGTCACATTCGCAAGATCGGCTTAAATCATCACAACGAGGGAATAAGTAATACCGTGCTCAGCGACAACGCACTTCATATTTTTTCAGTTACCCACAAGGCACAATGAACATAGAGTAATGTAATGTGAATGATACTGCCGAAGTGCCTATTAACTGCAGATATTATTGCTACTTCGCACATGAAAGTATTTTTCGAGAAACGTGTGACACATGAAATGTTTCAAGTTGGTCAGTACATCATGCAGAAGATCGTGAATCTTACATAAAAACACCGAAGAACAAGTAGAAAATGTTTCAAGAACTGCATTATACACAGGAACACCCAGAAGAGGATTCGATCAGAAACACCGGACTGATAAAACGAGGTTCAGCCCATGTCGTAACACTCGAAAATTGATTGTAAGCGGGATTTTCTTCATCAGCTATCACTCGAGAACGTGTTGAGAAGATTTCCGTGACAATATGTGATCTGTCCAGGTTTTCTTCCGAGACAATTTTGCTGATGAGACATCGATTAAGAAAAAATACACCTTCTCATCCAAGATAGAATCGTAGAAACTCGACTTACAGTGTGAAATATGCAGTCAACTATCTTTCTAACAGACTTAATTCGTGCAACAGAAAAGTCTGTTAAACAAAAAGCCCTTCAGACAAATTCAATCGTATAAAAAATTAAAACTATTAATTTTCAACACTAATTTTAAACCAACAGAAGTCCGTTTGGCAGATTTTGTCTGTTGGGCGGGAGGAAAAACTGCCCACAGAGCTAGGCTGTTAGGCAAAGATCCCTTACGCAGAAGGTCTGTTAGGCCTGTATTCAACGCTGAATTAAAAGTCGCTGATGAGCATTTGGCAGAAACCCTTTGTTTTCGACTAAACCTCACATACCAAGTGTTCACGGTGTGAATCATAGTTCAAAGATCACGGTAATGGACAGGTGTCTACGGCACTCTATTTTAACCCCAATGCAAAGCTTGTCCTGGAAAACTACAGTACAGTACCAACCTTCTTCTTTTTTTTGCGGACATCTTCCTCAGTTGGGACTTTGATGTTCTGCAAGGATCCCGCACGGTTCAGGGTCGGGGGATCCGCGTGACGGCGGCGAGTGACACCCGATTTGCCAGAACCAGAGCCACCACTACCGGGTGTCTGGGATAAGTCCTCCAGAGATCCGGAGTGATTACCTTTGGAGCCATTGTTGCGCCTGTGGCGCTTCCGCGTCCCTGGGGCCGACGTTTTGAAAGACCCCTTTGACAAGTTTCCACAAGAACCACCTGAGAGCAAACACATTGTTTCTCAAACATTCATTCACAACTGTGCCTCATGCCGTGAAAAACTTGATTTGCAGGTTGTCTCCCACGAAGGAAAAATTCAACATTCATGCAACCACTTGATCTGGTTCTGAGAGAAAACCTCGCTCTGAACCTTGAACCAAACACAGTAAAATCTTGTCGAAACAGAGCCTGGAAGAGAGCTTATTTATAATAAACACAATTGCTACAAAGAAAGTCATAAAAATTATGGCTATTTGACTTGAACCTTGAAAAGATACCGATCAGCACTGAGCATTCATTCGTTATAACACAAATATTGTCGACCAAGACAACGCATGACATGATTAGAAGATGCTGTCACCGGACAGAACACGTAAAAATTCTTCAACGCTCACCCCTCATGAGGCTCTTCCCCAAAAAAATTCAAGGTATTCATCAAGTGCCGTTCGTACATTTTTATTCTTCTCATTTTCACTACTACCTTCTCTTCCGGGATATCAGTAGGTTAGATTTTTGTTACTTGCACTAGCACAAGCGAAGTTAACCGATACTCGTTCGTTTTGCTCGGAGTGATTTTCCTATTTTCCGTATAGTGATGGTAGCTTGCAGAAAAGCAAGGATTACGACATAAAATCCTTTCAAAAGTTCCCATAATGCACAATTTAAGGGAAAGGCCTGATTCATAAGTGGGGTCAGGATGCATAAACCTCCAGTTAGCCACAACTTGCACTTTGTTCGAAATTCAATCCTTCGAAAAATTATTCTCCAATTTGCAGAATCTGACTTAATCCACGTACTGTACAATACAAGGAAGCATTTCATAAATACCAGCATACATGGGACTTGAAAGCGAAGATTTTAAGGCTTCCCCGATAAGAATAGAGTACATTTTCGCACTATCAGTTTGCAGATGGCTGGCGAAAGTCACTATGACCCATTATGCAGTACACTAAAATACGTAACGTACTCGTGCTGTGGGCGAAAACCAAACACCCTCGTATTCTCGCGAACAAAAATAAAGACAGTGACTTCATAATGGAACGAGGGAAAAATCGCCCAAGCTGAAGGGGAGGGTGTATTGTGCGACACATAAGGTCAATTTTAAATTTCAAGTCAAACTTCCGATCTCCAACAAGCAGAAAATGAGCGATGAACTGAACTAAGGCACAGCCATGCATCAAAGACGAATGAAGCCCTGTAAAGCAAACTTGTGCGGAGCAGTCCAGATAAAAAGTTCTTAATACATTATAATTTCCCTACTACAAAAGATAGACAGGAAATCCAACAGGGCTCCTTCAACTATGTACAAGAAACAAAACAAAGTGAGAATCACGTAATCCGAACGAACTAAACCTACCAACGAATAGTGAAGACGAACTTAAAATACAGACCGCATCGACGAGGTGAAAAATTAAATTAAGGAGGGCAGGCTTTGGATGCTCAAGTTGGACTGCAATAAGTGCCAGATTTCCTACGTCACAAACTCCGATCATTGATGAATCAGTTTCTGAAACTACAGCACTTGCTTCTGAAATTCTGATCCTCTTCACAGAAGTATGAAATGCGAACAGAAGGCAAAAAATCGACTTGAACTCACAGGTTACGCAAAAACAGAAACCAAGCTATAAATCGCCAAGAGAAACCGATTATCCGCCTAACTGCACTCATTCTCTGGGTTGAAACCAACTAAGATTCGTGAAGCACGACAGTCGCGAAGCCTCAGTTCAGACAAAAAGTTATCGGCTTCGATATTTACCTTCGACAGTGCGAGTCGCAACACCAGCGTCAGTTTTGGGTGTTTTTTGCACGGTCTTTCTAGTAGGTGGAGCAGCAGCGAGATCCTGCAAGGAGCCACCAGTGCCACAAGTAGCCACTGTTCTCGGAGTTCCACTCTCCTTACGACGTCTTTTCTTGCCTTCGGTTTTCTTCTGTCTATGACCAGCTAACACGTACAGCATTCGTTCTTCTCCACTGTCACTGTCTTCAGCTTCTTTCAATAAGTCCTAAAAAGACGAACGGTGGTTACGAGGCTACTCAGATTGCAGCAGGTTTAGGGAACACTTCGCAATGTCGACCAAAGGGATTTTTCACGGCGATACAGGAGACATACCTGAAATAATTTACTCTTTGTAGTTCTGTCTTGAGGGCGTTTGTAGTCCGCGGCTTCTTTCAACAACGACTCCAATCCGGAAAGATCCAACTCTTTAACCCGGTCCTCCGGCAGTTTCCGATGTTCCTTCATGAATAGACACGAAGTCATTCCCGATTACCAATCTCGGAATAAATTTTCTCACCGTGACCTCCAACATATGGGCCGGTTCGGTCTCGCTCCCCGAGTTCCCAATTGTCATCTTCACTCCATGAAGAGTGATTCCTTCTACTACCGTTCCCAGCACACCTCAACGCATTCACCGTTTCTATGACATCAACTCGACTGCAAACGGAGAAGCCTTTTTACGCAACGAGACTTCTCAAGTTGTTACACACTAGAACTTCTTCCTCGGCCGCCAGGATTGCGTGTCACGAAAATACAACGGAAGAACTGGCGAGAAAACTCTCATCAACAATGCTTTTACAGGCGGCAGAAGCATTCGTCGGAGCCATTAATAACTTGTTCCAGAAATTAACTTTCATGGACTAAGTCTTGCATACCTGCTATCTTCAACAAAGCATTATCAATAGAAAAGCATTAACCACGACGCGACTGCAGCAAGGTTGGAGCCTTGGAAAAGGCCCTGACGGATTTGAGTCACAAATCATGAACGCTAAGGGAGGGACACCCGAGAATGCAAATATACTTCGTCGGAAGACCTTGAAAATTCCGGACACGACGACAAACCTTTCAGAAATGTTACCGGACTGCACCTCAGTGTCTCACGTCACTACAGTTCCTAACGTTCGTAAGCCTCGCAAGAAATTAGAAAAGCTCAACCTTCCACCGACATTGCTCTTGTCGCGAACGAGTCCGCTTTCACCGCGTACCTCACAAACTTCGACCAGCTACGCGGCCATCTTGGTTTGGAAATCCTCTCACTGAAGATGTCAAGGAATGCCACAGAGCAACAGCAATCATTTAGAAATTCCCCGTTCAGTAGAGCACTTCAATCTCGCTTCATTTCATCCTCGCCAATAATAAACATCACAGTCACACTGAATCACGAAGACTTCTGCAAACAGTGCAAGAATATTTCAAGAAATTGCGCGGGTTTCTCAGAGTGCAACCAGTGTCCGGCATCCGTTATGTAGTGAAACTCAGCAGCAGGGAAATACTTCAGGATCGCACCATGATCTTCTTTCCTGAAATAGAGCATATGCTCATGAAGCATTACACTCCTTGTCAGACTTGATTATGAACTATGCGGCACTTGCCTCAGGTAATCCGACCGTCCACCTCCAATGAAATAAGTAGGCCCAGAGTAGCAAACCTCCAATTGCGGGAACGTGGCCAAATTGTTCGAGAAATTATTTGCCAGGGCTTTCACATTCATCCTCCACTTGTAATTACCGGTCGTGTTGTCTTGCACCAGATTGGACAACAAGAACTGCCTCACCATCGGCTCCTATATACACAGAAACCGATAAAAACCAAAAATTTTAATTTGAGACGTTCGTCACTCTATTTACGAAGAAGAAAATCACATGCGCACTATACAGCATACATTTCCCCCAATTATATCAGCGCAAGCACTTTCCACGAATTTTGAACGTTCGATTGATTTATCCAGGGAAACTGCGAACGGGCTTGCTCAGAATAAACGATCAAAGGGTGGAAAAACAATTTGGGTCTGATTTTTAAAGGCAAAAATTAAAATACAGTAACATCGCAATATACTGAACTGGAATCGAAATGCTCACATAATGAGACTGCAATTCGAGTACTGATGTACAGCACAGTTGAAACAATGTTGCTTTTATTTGAGTACCGTGCGCCCTTTTGAGTAAGATACCCACATGGTTTTCTAGTCCTAGAATTTGGATAAAATCCTATCCTCAATACGCATAGTACAGCTGCGATTGCGCACCACACGTTTAATATGACAATAAGAAGGGGCGAAGTCTTGAAAGTATTGAACACATAAAAATCAAAATCTCAAGTTGAATTGAACCCAAATTGAATCCATTTTTCATGGTTTCCTTTGAAAAAATTCTTTGTTGAAATTCGTAGAAAATGTTCAATACAGCATAATGATGATGAAAAGTATTATACAGGTCTATGTATCATAACTCAAACCTCCTTAAGTTGAATATCCCCCCCTAAGTTGAATTTATTTCAGGTCCCCATCTGAATCCCCTTAGAAACGATACAGTAAAAACCTCCCTAAGTTGAAGGCTTTTCCCCTCAAACCTCCTCAAGTCTAATTTTCTGTGGCCTGTTGGCCATTATTTTCTGGACCCATCAAGAGAGGAGAAAGCAATAAAAACAGAAATTTATGTGCTTTAAAGGAAGTGGAAGACTTCATTGGGCAGAAACCTAAAATGAAAGACTTTATGGTGGGCTGTGGATTGAGGAGGCCAAGGACTGCCCTGGCTGGCAGTTGGAGCGACCGGCGTTTGCCAGCTATAGCGGGTGCGCAACCCTGGTTTTGCCCGACTGCTGCTGGCGGCTGTCTGGGTAAAATTCGGTGTTCGCATTTGCTGGTTGTATTAGCATATATTTTCAAGACAGAACAGGATGTAAAAAAAAACCACATTATTTTTCCGAGGATATTTTAGACTTCCAGGATTTTTTCAGATTTTTCAGGCATTTTATTTGCTGCACTTCAAGAGGAGTGGAAAACTTCTGGATATGGCTACAATTGTAAAAATCATTCTATATGGAGTTCTAAAAATGTGTCAAGACAATAAAATAATTTAAATCATTCTTAATGTTTTGAATATCACCTTTCTCAATTCTCATGTGTTTTAAAGTTGTCAAATTGTAATCAATATTTTTTTACACTACAGTAGAAACCCATTACCTGCTGTGGGCCCCATTTGGGACTCAGGTGCTTTTTGTCCAGCCAAAAAATACCATCCAAACAAAATTTATGTAAAAATATGCCAAGGCTTCACAATGAAGTTATCTATAATTCAAGACCTCACTTGCCTATTTGTCCATTTTTCAATCCACAGCAACATAGTTTCTGAAGCCAACTCACAAATTCTGTTCAAAAGTTAAAACATGATTTTTAAAATCAAGAAAAGTACTTTCTAGTAAGGCTAAGCTCAAAATTTTTCATGTCCTGGTAGCCTGGTTAGTTCTGAAGGCTTTGGCATATTTTATTTAATTTTCTGAAATTTTGATCAATCACAACAAGCGCCAGAAGTCTGATCACCAACTGGGGCTCATGGCAGTTGGGGTGTAAAAAAAAAAAATTTCAAAATTTCTTGAAAATGTGTCAAAACAGTTTTTTTATCTTGAATGAATCCAACTGATGGGTTGAGCATGCAAAATTGATGAAAAAACATGTAAAATAAATTTTTTAAAATTTGAAATCAATTTCTTTCAATTTTTTCTTCAGTTGTAATAAAGACAATTTTTCGGAAAAATTTGTTTGAAGATGCCCATAAGCTTTTGAGCTTCATCTAACAGCTGGAAAATGTAATTACTTGGTTTATATGCTGGGTGATGATCATAGATTTTTTAGCTTTTACAAAAAATAAACTTTCAAAAATGTTTGGAAAAAAAACGTTATGCATTTCATTCCTAGAGGCATTCTAGCATCTCAAATGAGCCAGAAGATAAGTTTGCACTCACATTCAGCTTACAATAATATAATTTTGAAAAAAAGTGCAAAAAATATTTTTTCCTATGCATTAGAATACCTTTTTATTAGTAAAAAAGAAGATGGTACCTGCCATGAGCCCCATTTGGGGATCAAGTTTAAAATTAAAATATTTGACAAAATTTTGGATTTAAAATTTCAAAAAAAATGTCCCCAGCCTATCTAGAAGTAAATAAGTGAAATAATGCAAAAATGGGTCTGTAAGAAATTTGGCAGTTAATGGGTTAACAAAACACACACATTTTTTTGGCATGCAAGCGGTTAATTTTCAATTTCTCAAGTTTTTCTCAGAAAAAATTACTATCCCAATTATTTTGGTTGGAATGTGAATATAAAAAGCATACTTGCGTCTTTATACGGTATGTGGCGCGCAGTTACTCAAATGACTGCGTTTACCATCACAGCAATACATGGAACTTATAGAAAAGAGAAAGATTACACCAAAAATCTTGTCATCATAAGCACATACAGGTTATACAGTACCCTAAAAAATTAGAAATTGTTGAAAAAGTAAGGCAAACATTACAAACGTTCAAGAGGGAACAAAATATGCAACAGCGAAGCTTTGGCACATGGCAAGCTGATGGGAGAAGTAGAACGAGAATCCTCACCGTTTCCGCCCAAAAAGATATGTGTTTTCAGCGAGTGCATAATAGGGATTCGGATACAATACTGTACTCTGAAGATCTGGACACTGTCCAAAATACAGGAAACCTTTTCGGCAACGATTATTTGCCAGTGCAAGGAGATTAAATTGCGCCATTCTGCAATCACTGTACAGGAAAAAATTGAGGACACGGAAGTCCCGGATAGTCTGCTCTGACGGGAATGGGCGGAGATGCAGGGTTGTCAATGCTGACACGTGCATGCTGCCAAGATTCTTTCCTAGTTTTGAATTAGAAAACTGTCCTCAAGCATATTTTCGTTATGGATTCCGTGTAACCGTGTTTATAATAAGCTTCCAAAATTCACAAAATTTCTGCGAATACTGTACAGCAGCAGGAATTATAGTCACCCTTTATATGCATAGCATCAAGTTTCAGAATTTTATTCACTTACTCTAGTACAGTACAAATTATGGCTAACCTTTTTTGATGGGCACTCGCTTCTTTTAAATTTAAATACAATAAGAATATCATTCATAATCGCTGTGGTCTTATGAATAATTCTCACCATAATTTTTCATCATCAACATTCAGTAGCGGGAAACATTCAGTAAATTTTAGTGTACACAGTATTGCCTCTGCTTCTCTCTTATTCCCCAGGGAATTTTTTCATGCATAGAAGCAGTGATCAAATTGCTGGGTGTCCCGCTCATGATGTCCGTCAAATTTATACGAATGAATTAAATAACGGTGGCTCTTTAGACAATGTCAATGTTGATATTTTCGTAAAACAATTCCCAAGACTTACGCAATTATTTTTTTTGAAAAAGTCCCAGAGGGCGGAGCTTTGTTGGGTTTCACGCTACTTCTAAATTATTGAAAGTACAGTATAGCAAGAAATCATGGAGAGATTTGTCCCAAGAATAATATGGATTGGCTGAGATCGCGTAAGTGTTTTGAAATGTTTGCAACAGATCTGCAAAATCTTCAACGTACTGTACTTCCAGAACAGTTACGTGAAGTAATGCTGTATTTCCCATCAACTCCAACTTATTTCGCTGAAATACTGTAATCACAAAAATTTAAAACGTGAAACACAAACACTATACCATGTTTCACACCTCCCCTTTCTTAAATGTTTGAAAAATATATGCTATCTTGATCAAGTATAAGC